GATTGTCTTGAAGGTCCATGTGGAAATACAGGACTTAATGTTTGCCCTTCTGGATTTTTGGATTGCTTTGGTCCCATTCCTTCGTAGGGCCATTTGTAGCTTTTCGAATGGAAATGTTTATCTTGCGTCATTTTTCATCAATGCTGAAACTGTTAGGACTTCAGCAACTCTTAGAGATGGACTAAATACCTTTTTCAAAAAGGGATGTACATGAGCTTTTGGGGAGCCAGGGGTGGAATGTTATGGTTTGTGTCTGTGTACCCACCCAAGTCTCATGCAGTCACGATGGGCAGGCTTTTCAGAGACAGCTAAATCCAGAGTTTGTGATTGGTTCTCTGTCTAGTCCTGGGATTAGGGGTGTGAGTGCTGTACCTAAAGCAGGTAGCCATCATACAATCTAACGGAGGGAAAGGGGCTTGCTCCCCCCTTTCATCTCTTGCTGCTGTTGCTGTCTTTCACTGCCATGGACTGTTTTCCTCTGACATGCCACCCTGCCTTGGAGCCCGCAGATTATAGACTGAAACCTCTGTACACTATGAGTTAAATATACCTTTCCTCCTCTAACTTTGGGCATTGGGTATTTTGTTTCCATAAAGAGAGAAAAGGAACTAAGAAATGAAAACATGATTAAATCAAGAGAGATAATTGAGGGCAGGAATAAAGAAGACAAATAGATTAGAAGGAAAATATAGATAAAAGACCAAAAGGGAACAAAAAAACAAACCAGAAAAAAAAAAAGAAAAGAAAATAGAATAGAATACAAAGTAAAATTTCTCTGTTGTCCACCAAGAGCCCAAAACTACTGGGTAACCCTGCCAAGTTGTGCTGGATGTGGGCGGCTGGGCCAGAGTCTTTATCCAGTACTTTCTGTATGTCCCTTAGAGGCCCGCCTCTCCTTACACAGAGTCTCCCCCCGCCCCCGACTGCTGTGCCAGGCTTAGAGACAAGGGGCTGCTCTCAGTCTCACGTATAGTTAGTTCCTCCTGGTCCTCGCTCCACCTCCTGTGTCTCTCTCTCTACCACAGGTAAGTCTCCGGCCTCTCAGGTTGCTTGCTTCAGCGGGTGGTGGGGTGCTGTGAGGTAGGCAGGCTGATCCTTTGCTCCTGCAGGTGCTGTCCAGGGTTGCTCAGTCCCAACTCTTACTCCACTCCCAAGAGGGGGAGCAAGCCTCTTTAGGAATTTCCAGTTTTCTTCATTATATCATCTTGTTTTAAAGTCCTATACTGCATTCTTTGATTGATTTTAGTCTATTTTCTATTATTTGATTTCAGTGTGTTTGGAGGTATGGACAGCTATTTTGAAGAGAACAAGAGACATTATGGTAGCCATTGTTTTATTTCCTATTGTCTAGTTTTCAAGGCCCATAATGCTTTCATTCTTTTGATTAGTTTTATACTATTTTGTTTGCTTTGAATTTATTGTGTGTCAAGGTATGCACAACTATTTCAAAGAAAACAACAGACATTATGGTAGCCACTGTTTATTTCCTATTGTCTTGTTTTGAAGTCCTGTGTCGTTTGCATTGTTCTGATCTGCTTTTTTTTGCTTTGTTTTATTCTCTTTAAAATAAAACAACTCTGTGCTGGGCATGGTGACATACATCTGTGATCCCAGCTCTTGGGAGGCAGAGGCAGGAAGATTGCCATGAGTCTGAGGTCAGACTGGGTGACCTTGTCTCCAAAAAAAAGAACAGCCAACTCTGAAAATCACACAGAACAAGAAATCCTAAACAGCCAACCTTGAAAAAAGAATAAAGTTTCAGAATGCTGTATTCCACATTTGGAATGTCCCCAGAAAGCCCATGCATTGGTCCTGCAAGCCCTGAGGCTTGGTCCTCGGTTTGGCACCATTGAGGGATGGTGCAAACATTTAAGGAGTGGGCCTAGTGGGAGGTTACTGGGTGTGTGCACTCCAGGGTGACCATGGAACACCAGAATCATCTTTACCATTCACCTTAAGGTGAATGGACTTCCTTTCTTCCCACCATGATGTGCTGCCTCATCCCAGACCCAAAAGCAACAGGCCAACTGTAGACGAAAGCCTCCAAACTAGAACAGAACAAACTACAACTGGGTCCCTTATAGCTTAATCGGTAGGTGGGCTCATGGGTCAAAGAGGTGTCAAGGGCAAGGACACTGGCAGCACATGTGGATGTTTGTGGCACCTGTCAAAAAGTAATAGAGAAGGAAGGTTACCAAGGAGTGGACACTTCACATCCTTGAGGAAAACCTCATGTGGATGGAAAGAGAAAAAGGCATCAGTAAATGAGGGTTTGTGGGCCACGAGCGCATCCACAGTTGGTGAGTGAGTGAGATCTGTTTCCCATGGGAAACATGACTCCTGACACTTGAGGGCATACAACAAGGCTTTCCACTGAGCAGCAGTACTGCCTCAAACAGGTCTGTATTAGGATGGAGTCAAAGCCTTTCAACTAGGAAGACACTCTCAGTGGAAACACTCTGGAGACATATTAAAGTAGGAAACACTCAAGGATTTAAGTTTGAGACAAAGCCGGAATGTAGGCTAAAGACCAGTGAAGGACACTGTTAGACTCTCCCTAGAGAAGCTTCACACAGCTGGGAAGCCCTCAACAAATTCCAAGAATAGTGATTGGGTCCTGAGTAAGCAAGACAAACTGGGAAGCCATTAATATAAGAGACTTATGCCCTTGTGAAATATGGCAACTGGCATGACTTGGAATCTAGGGAGCACAATCATCACACTAATAGGAAAGCAAAGCCAACTGTAAACTGTTTACAAGATTGTATTTTAGGTAGCTGATGGATAGGTATAGATAATTTAAAGTAAAAGGATGAAAGTATGCAAAAGCTAATTCAAAGAAAAGCTATATGAAAATAAGATGTGTTAGTTGGCTTTCTGTAACAGATAACTCAGATAATACACTTAGAAAAAAATACACTTAGAAAGTATTCTGGGCTCACAGTTTGAGAGAGTTCAGTTCATGACTGAATGGGCCCATTGGGCATCTGAGAGTCAGTATACTGCAATGGAAGCATGCACCAGAGCAAAACTAATTACGTCACGGTCAGGAAGCAAAACACAGACAGTGGAAAAGGGGCTGGTGTCCCACTATCCCCTACGTGAGCTTTGCCCCCAGTGATGTAACAGCCTGCTACACAGGAGCCCCAACCTTTAAGGGTTTCGTCTCCAACTGGTGCTACAGGCTGGCACCAAGCCATGTCCTTTGGAAACATGAGCCTTTGGGAAACATTTAAGAGCAAAATAGTATAAGATGTAGATTTCAGAAAAATATTAGAATAATTTAATAACAAAAGAGATTAATTCATCAAGACAACAGCAGTAGCCAAGTGTGAGATTGTCACTTATGTGTGATGCCTCTGCTGCTGGGTTCATGGAGACAGAAATATCCAAAGAAACCATTACATCCTACTGAAAAGTATCACAAACAGTTGCACTATTTCAAGAGACCCTGGAACCAACAAATCAAGGAAAACCTAATGGGGGGAGAAAACAAATTTATAAAGGAAAACAAGTTTATATGTATGGCATGAAGAAGAAATCAAGAAAGACGGAGAAGATACTAGTTTGCATAGGAGATGTGGAGGCAGAGGTCAACCATGGTTATGCCACAATTTTCTCATGAGATCTTCCTTTCACTTCTTAGAACACACTGTGTTGACAACTCACATCACTTTAGCCTCTAGGGTTCCACCTCTGCTGGTTCTTGCTGCCCTCAGTTTTGACTTCTGACCCTCTCCCACATGGTTATCTCTGAGTACTACATATTGCAAAAGATAAATGTTAGAAAGAGGCTGATGGTGGGGGACTGACAGTCTGATTTCTGGAGATCTGTCTATTTTCAGCTTAACCAATAGTATGTGGTGCATGGTCTTAAATGAGTGTGCAAGTCACCGACAACCCTCCATACAGGTAGGTATTGGATTCTGGTTTTTCTCAACATAGACCAATAAATTTACCTAAATCCAAGATCTCAGTCACTCAATTGTCTGTGGCATTTGTGATGCAAAAAAGCAGTCCCAAATATCAAGGTCACTTTCTGAGTTTCCTTATACTAGATATTGGTCCAGGATTCTTCTTTGTCTTGATACCTATGATACTTGCCAATATTCTTTCCTAATATTTGAGCTGTCACCAGTGGGAGAAGAGAATTGACATTCAGTCATCCCTTGATATCTGCAAGAATTGGTTCCAGAGCCCCTGAAGACAAAAAGTCTGCAGATACTCAAATCTGCTATCCACAGTGCTGTACTTGCATATAACTTAGGCAATCTCATATATTCTGATCACCTCCAAAGTACATATAATACCTAACACAACAAAAGTAATTGTTATACTAGATTGCTTAGGGAATAATGACAAAGTCTGTGTATGTCAAGTGTACGATTTTTCCCAAATACTCTTTCAGCCTACGGGTGGTTGAACCATGGATGCAGAATTCACTAACCTGGAAGCCAAGTGTATAACATTTACTCATTACTGTCACAGCAGAAAATCCATTCCCTTACATTATTTGTATGGCTACACAGGCCACCAAATTCCTGAACTCTTAATTCCCACTCCCAAGCCTTACTCCATAATGGGAAACTAAGGCCCTATGGTACATCAGTAAGATTTCTTGGAAATATTAAATACTCAAATTTCCTTCACCTAATTTGTAAAACACTACTAGGCTAATCAGACAGTTCTCTGGTCTGAGCAACATTTCCTTTTTTTTTTTTTCCTAGAAAAATAACAATTTTCTGTAATCAGTAGATTAAGAAAGAGGGACACAGTGGCACACACCTGCAATGCCAGCCTCGGTGTGTGAGGCAGCAGGATCATCAATGTGAGCTCGGTCTGAACAACACAGTGACTCAAGACCTGATCACTAAAAAAGGGGTGGAGGGAGGTGGGGTATGTTGCTCAGGGTAAGGGCCCAGGATTCAATTCCTATACCCATAAACACAAAAAGAAAACTAAAAATCACATTTCCTTTAGTAAGACTCAAATCTGTGATTTTAACATGAGTATTTTATTGAATTTCATCATTTAACAGTACTAGGAAGAAGTGATATTTGTACATATTGCACTTAAGAAAACATTCACTAGTTAACTTTCCATTTTTTCTTTCCAAATTATTTCCTCAGATTTCTAGAAAGTAGTATCATAAATCAAATTCTAACCTCAAGAAAAAAAAAAAACACTTCCATGGCACATCTTTAATCATGGCCCACTTCTATTACATCATTTATCACTGTTGGTGGCACTGTTCAGTGCAATTTGACCTGGATTATATATTTTTATATATTTTATTGGTATGATTTATATATTGTATTTTCTTAAATGATTTAATTTTATTTCATACAGGACAGGTTCAAGTTGCAATTATAAACTCATTAACATATAAGCAAAACAAATAAATTCACAAATACATGCTTTCTAGTATCTTCGAAGCTAGTCCCATCCCCTCCCAAAAATACCATTCAACTTATGAAAACCAAGTTCTCAGACACTGTTTGGAGTCTATTTAAAGACAGTTTGAAATGGACAGAAAAATGTATCTGCTTTCCAGAAAAGCGGATGGTTTCATCTAAAAACAAAAACAAAAAAACCTGCCCAAGAGCACATGCCTGTAATCCCAGAATTTGGAGGCCGAGGCAGGAGAATCACTGGGTTTGAGGCCAGCCTGAAACACACCGAGTTCAAAGACAGCCTCAGTTATATGGCAAGACCTTGACTCAAAAAAAAAAAAAAAAAAACTGCCCAAGATTCTTCTGATTATGTTGCACTTTACAACATCACACTTGAAGCAGAAGCCAGGAGGCTAAGAGTCCTCAATTTTCTGTCTTATGGAAAATGTTTCCATGTCCCTAAACTGCCAATTTTTAAATCACCAGGGTAACCCTGGGTTGACTAATCTTTTCAGTGTTCCGAGTGGCACTGTTTATAATGCAAAATGTCCTGGCACATTTAGTTATAAAATCTTTTTAACGTTTGAAAAGTAAATTGGAAGACAGAAATCTTTACTGTCAGTTGTCTCCTTATCTCCACTCTTTGGAAAGTCGCTCTTAATGAAGTCAATGTGAAAATAGACCACATCACTAAATCCAGCTGGAGGGAGCTCATTCGAGGTTTTCTCAACATTGACCCAAACATCTGAACAAACAACTTCTCAGTCACACTCAGTCTCCTTGTGTGGAATTTGTGGCATAGAAAGCAGTCCTAAGTACCATTTTGAGATTTCCTGCTAGATACTCGCATGGTTTTCTTCTCTGCCTTGCCCTCTCTTTGACACTATTTAACTTTCCCCTATTTCCAATGGAAAATTATTATAGTCTAGCTGCAAATCTAGGAAAACATTTCAGATGCTCCGCTTCAAAAGGAAAAAAAACAATCATTGTACCACTTGTGGTTTTCTACATCATAGCAGGTCTTTCTGTAGCTCAAAGGTAATAGAGACTGTTTGATAGTGCGTTATGTGGCGCTTGTTGAATATTTTGCCCCACGAAGTAAGCCAGTTTATGGGCATAATGGCAAGGAGCAGGAACTCTGATGGCGCCCTTTCATAAGAAGAAGAAAAGCAGAAGTTTATTTAACTTTACATCACTTTATACTTACCTGCACATCTACATTTGCTAGGCTTAAATTTTCATAGATATTGATGCAAAAGTTCAAATTTTGCTCAATGTTGAACAATACATTTTATAGGTCAGAAAAAAAAAATCAATGAGACGATACTTACTGGGAAGTTAAAGTACATGTGGCATAGTCTGTAAGTTATGTTCTGTACTGTATCTGGGTCCAAGCAAACTGTGTCATAGATAACATTATAATGAGTGGGAGTAACAGTACCATATTTTGAGGTCTGACTCACAATGTAAAAGTCATACCTGAAATTATAGAACAGGTAAGTATCAGTTTATTTTAGAAGAAAAGGGACATGGTAATCTCTAGCATTGGGAGCAAAAAACATTTAATATATTAAGGTACAGAAATATGTTCCATAGACAAAGTTCTCTTCAAATCTAGATGCTTGTCTGAGTGGCAAACCACGATCTGCTGAAGCTTATCCACAAGAGCAGCTAAGTCATTAACACAGGTAAGAACGTATTCAGACTCAAAATAAAGGTGCTTGTGCCAGGACAAGTGCCAAGACTGACACATTTAATTTGGTCTTACTAAATGTAGTCTCTGCATTTTGGGCAAAGACCCAAAAACAAAGGCTTCCTATGTCTCCCTAAGCATCACAGAAACATCAAACTCTTCAAATGATTTAGGAAACTGCTGAGATTTGTCTTGACATTTACCATAAACCTTGAATTTATTTTTACATGCACTCTTAGGTGATGGTTTATGTTTATCCTAGTTTTCATTTGTTTTTTCTCTAGTGCTTTTCTGCCAGTGTTTCTGCTCCTCTTTATATGACTTCACTTCCCACCATCTGCTCCTATAAATGTCATGTTTTCCTTCCCACAACTCTTGCCTGCATAATTGACTTATGTCTAAAGTTAATTACCAGTTTTACTAACTGAAGAATCTTAAATGTTTTAAGAAAAAAATAGTTTAGACATTTGTTTTAGACAGACTTCTAAGCTTCAGCAAGATGTAGAAACTTCCCATGCAGAACTGTTTCTTTTTCTCCAACCTTTTCTTTCTTGCTTTCTTGTGGGCTTGTTTTTCAGCTCTGTCTGACCAAATGATCTACATAACAGATTGCAAAGAATAGCTTCTTATTTCGGTACCAAGGTATAGGGCCACTGCTTGAACTTGTGCCAAATGATTCATCCAAAGATGCCTCTTCTCCAAGCATCAGATCTAGCTATTTCTTGACCAGTCTGGAGAAGCCTTAAAGCATCTTCTCTTTCCTGGGCAACTTTATCTAATGCCTCCATGGAATCAGCTACCTTTTCTAACTATTCTGGACTTGGCATTGGCAGACTACCACGTGGCCTCCTGTTCCAGAGTTAGAAGCAGAGTTAGAAATTTCTTTCAGTAAGACATAGCAGAGTTTATGCAAATCTCCATTAAGTTTTGTTGCTTAATTTCTGACTGTTCAAGGGTTAAGCCACTGAACACAGTGGATGTACTGGAAAGCTCAAATTTACCGCCTCTGAAAGCGAGCTAAGGCTGCAGTAACCTGCAATCTTGTTCAAAGGATTCCACAGCAATAAAACTGTCAACATTACAGATCTAACAGTTTTCTTAATTAGCAAAATTTGCTGCAGACTTTCAGCTTTCATCCCTCCACTTCCTGCACCACCACCCCTAAATCTGTGGCATAAAGACGAGCTATCCGGAAAAACTCACGGTCTTTACCCCTAGAGAGTTCTGACCTTCCTGGATCCTCCAAAACCATAATATTTGTCTCCTTTTATTTAGGCCTCGGCTGTAACGCGTTTTAGGAGACCGGGGGCTAGGTCAAGTCCCCAATAGCTAATAGGTCCATGCAGCTTCAGGTTTCACCTTTTCCTGCCCCCAATTCTTTGGGTCATCAAAAAATTTCAGTCCTTTTCTTAACAATGTGGTATGAAGTAATCTACATTGGTGGAAGAATGTGGCATTTGGTAACTTCTTAGGTGACAAACCAAGAAAACCCTGAGCTAGCAGAGACCTTAGGAGTTATTAATGACCCAAAAACCTTCAGGACTGCTGAGACTCTACAAAAAGTAGCCACAATGGCTGTAGTCATTTTTTCACACAGCTTGCAAATTAGTTATTATAGCCAGTATTCTAGATCCACCTAGTTTAAATATGCCTTTTAAGTAATCGTTTTAAAATCCAAGGTTTTTTGCTACTCCCAACATCACCGATCTGTACGGTTTATTTTATCGCATTCTTTTACTGTTCAGTTTCCTTCTTTGTAAAGCACAACCTTTAGGTTGTGGTGTTTCTGTGAGTCTGGTGAATTAGCATATACACATATATGGTTATCTGAGCATGTTGGTCTTTCAAAGGGACCCTTGATAGCTTAGCTAGGTATCAAATTCCAGTTTGATAATTAGTTTTTTGGCAGTTTAAAGATACCATTTCACTGTGTGGTTCCTACTGTTGAGTAATGTTTTATTGCTTTAAAATATATTATTCCTCTGGCAGCTTTTAAAATAGCTCATGCCTGCTTCTCTGAAGTTTTATTATAGTGTTCCTAAGTGTAGGCTTATATTTACTGATCCTGTTTAAATTCCATGATTCCTTAATCTGAGTTCAAAAATCTCACCCTGAAATTACTCCCCATTCTCACATAATATTTCCTATTGAAATTTCTACTGATATATAGCAAATCTCATTTTATATTTTTCTTAACCTGCTTTTTATATCTCACCCGTCTTTATGGTTCTCCACTGTATCACAGAATTTTTAATGTATTTTCCAGTTAACTAGTTTTTGTCTGTCTAATCTGTTATTTAAGCATTCCTCTGGGTTTTTTTTTTTTCATTTTTATTATGTTTCTTTATTAGATACCCAAATCTGATCGCTATTTTAATTCAAAATTTCTTGGGGTTTTTATTTTTTGTTTGTGGTGGTGGAGAATGAACTCAGGCCCCTCCCACAAAGTTATGTCCCAATTCTTTTTACTTTTCAGACAGAGTCTTTCTTCTAAGTTACTAAATTGCATAGGCTGGGCTCAAATTTCCAATCCTCCAGCCTCCCAAAGCACTCAGCTATCTTTTTAATGGCTTTCCTTCCATTTTTTAATCCCCCTGTCTCTATACATATTTTAATATAGAATGTCTGCAACTATTTCATTATCTAAAAATTTATGTAACTAATGTCTTTGTCATTTTTTCTGCTGATTGTTATTCATGGTATATTCCTTTCTCATAAGAAAATTCCTAAATCACTGTTCCAAATTACATTATGTCCATGTATAACAGTGCAATAGACAACTAAATTCTATATTTTATAGAATTACTCTATTATTAATACCTTAGTAACACATCCCTTTTTCACATTCTAAGAGGATGAATGTCACAAGAAAAACTTAATGCTGTTGCCTTTAAAATTGGCAAACATTTTGGGCCAGGGATATAGCTCAGCAGCACGAGTGTCTGCCTGGCAAGTACAAGGTCATGAGTTTGATCCCTGGTACCAAAAATAGTAAATAAAATACAATTAGCAAACATTTTTTAAAATAAAATATTGTCCCAGGCTATTAAACATTTTTATGGGGCTGGGATTGAACTCCGAAGCCTTTGCACTGAGCTATATGCCCAGCCCTTATAAAAATTTTTGAGACAGGGTCTCACTAAATCATTAAGTTGCCCAAGTTGGGCTCAAACTTGCAATCTTCCTGATTCAGCCTCCCACAGGACTAGGATTACAGTCATACACCACCACATCTGGCCTAAACAAACAATTTAGTAGGGCATATTCCGTACTATTTGATTTGTAATGACTCAAATCTGCTAACGTAAACTTGCTACTTTCATGTTGATAATTAGTTTTGGGACCACCCTAAAATTAACCCTTATTTGATCACAGAAACAAATTCGATGGGGAAACCTAACTACAAGATCAATCACAATTTCTAAATCTAAATGAAGTCTCCTGGCCAAGATTTCCTTAAAAGGATCAGATTAATTGTCAAAAACCAGAAAAAGCTTTTAAGGTGGGATAAGTGAGATTAAGTGCCTTTCTCGATGTAAAGCAAGAAGGTTAGAGATGCATATATAAAAATAAAAGTGGTTTACCATTCGTGCCTGGTTAACGCCACATCAACAACAGTTCCTGAAGGTGGATTTTTAAACATTTCTTCAGACTTTGTAAAAAACCTGGTGTTTATTCGTTTCTTCACCACAATGAAAGTTAGCTTGATTCTTCAAAAATCAGAATAAATGTCACTATGTTTACTCAGGCTTACTTACAAATGTTCAAGGTGTCAGAACATCACACTCTTAGGACTTATTAAAAATTCTGTAGACAGCAGTCCTCCACATACTTGTGTTCACAGTGTTAGCCTCACGTTCCTAATTAAAGCAGCAAATGAGAAGTCTGCTCACAGCCAACCACAACCTAAGGGAAGAGTCTTCCTCAAAACCTGTGTTGATGGACACACACCTCTGACTCACCAAGGCTGAAGAGCCCTTCTATACAGAGACTTGAAATGAGAAGAGATCCACTAAGTACCTGGGGAAAACGATCTGCTCTTGCCATGTTCATTCTGCATTGAACTCTGACTTGAAGGGAAGCACAACGTCATGGGGGAAGCGCTGGCTTCTGCCCACCCACCCCCTGAGGCCCACTGTCTGCACTAGGCTCCTCCTCTCATCACTCACGAGATCGGATCTCCTGCTCCAAACAGATCTTTCTCACAGACTAAAACATACAGCTTGCAAAGTCTGAACTTGATCATTTCTATACTTACTTAAGCTTGTTTAATTGGCTCACAAGCTGTGGTATTTCACAGTCAAGTAAGTACTGAAGCTGACCATCTCCTACTCCATCTCGATAAACCACGACGGAATTTGGCTGGTAGTGTAAATTTTTAAACCAGGAATTTAAGGCAGCTGAAAGGAAAAAAAAACACACTTAAGTAAAGTACAACTTGGAACAAACTGCCTTGTGTTATTTTTTATAATGTCTAGGTTCATCATTCAATGCTGTAGCTCTCAGGACAGTTTCTCTTCCTACAGCCTCAGTCTAGCCCAGGACTTCTCAACAACATCACTACTGAAATCTTGAGACAGGTGATGCTTTGTGATGTTAGTGGTGATAGCCTATCTACAGTAGGATAGTGAGCACTATCTGGCCTCTACCTACCTGATTAAATGCCAGCTATATTATTATCCCAGCTGTAGCAACAAAAATGTTTTCAGCCATGACTAGATGGTCTCTGAGGGCATTATGTCCAGTTACAGAGAGCTATTACTATAGAGTGGGTATGCCAACCTCCTTAAGACACTGACCTTCCAAACAGCGATTCAACCCATTCACAATCTCCTGTCCAGGTTCCTGGAAGATACACTGGGAGTGCCACCTGTTCACAGAGAAATAATTAAGGTTCTGTTGGAATTTAAAAAGTCATCATTTGAATTCTGAACTAGCTTATTACCAAGAAGAAAAGTCACTATAAGTTTCCAATTAAGAACAAATTTTTTTACATCCCTATAGAGATCAAAAGTAATGTTCTCTTCTAATATCTTAGGCATTTGTAAGATTTTTCAAAAGTACACAAAGCAAATGAAAGCACTTACTAACATTACAAATCATTCATGTTTTCAATGTGCAGGACTACTGTAGTCTTACCCACTAAGGAATGTGGTCAAATGAAAATTCAGTGTTCCTGGACATTCCTGCCTTGTGGTTAATGTCTCAAGCAGTGGTTCATTCATAGTAATTTTTGCAAGAAGCAGCTTGTTTTGTAATTGATGACAATTACTGTGACCATTTCAAAATGTCCAGTAAAATCACATCTTGTCTCAAGTTTATATTCCCTTACTGGGTGGTTGTTTCCCTCACAGCAAGCTCATTTGACTACTTCACATTATGGAATTTTTTTTTATTTTGTTATCAGGATTTAAGTTCAATGGAATACAACAAAGGTTTTGGCTCTGCTTCACTGCTGAATTACCAGCAGTTGGACATGGAAAGTTTTGCTCAAAACTACCTAGCCAATGAATAATAATTTCTCCATATGAATGCCAATATTAGCCTCTAATTCCAAAGAGAAGGCAGAGCAAAACAATGTTACTATATAGAATCAGAATGACTTAGAAAAAAAGATGTCAACCATGAGACTAAAGATGGACCTTCCCTAAAGAAAACACTGCCAAAATCAGGAACAAGGAAAGGATGCCTCCTGTCATCACTCCTATGCAATAGCTAAAGTTCAAACTAAACAGAATGAAATGAAAGGAATACAAATAGGAAATGAAATCAAATTAGCTGTGTTTGCAGATAATATCATATACATAGAAAACCCTGAAGACTCCACCAAAAGATCTTTAGAGCTGTTAAATTCAGTAGCAAGATATAAAAATCAATATTAAAAAATAACTTTTCTGTATACAAATAATGAACTGAGAAAAATCAAAACAATGCGTAACATATTTTCTAAAAAAATACTTGTGATCAATGTAACCAAAAAGGTGAAAGACTTCTAAAATGAAAATTTCAGAACACTGAAGAAAGAACCTGAGGAAGACACAAGATGGTAAGACCTACCATGTTCATGGATCGTCAGAATTAATATTATTTAAATGCCCATATTACCAAAAGCAGTGCACACAGATTCAATGCAATTCCCATCAAACTACCAAAGACATGGGCTGGGGATTTAGCTCAGTGGCATAAGTGCCTGCCTGGCAAGTGCAAGGTCTTGAGTTCAATCCCCAGTACCGCAAAAAAAAAAAAAAAAAAAGGCATGTTTCACAGAACTAAGAAAAATGATCTTAAAGTTTATATAGAAACACAAAAACCAAAGCAACCTTAAACAAAAAAGCAAGGCCAGAGGCAATATAATATCCAATTTCAAACTACACAACAAATCCCATAATAACAAAAACAGTGATACAAGCATAAAAACAGACAGACCAATGGGACAGAATTGATACATAGAAACAAACCCATGCAACTATCGTGATCTGATTCTGGACAAAGGAGTCAAAAGTACACATGAGAGAAAACAAACAGTACTTGAAAAATTGGATATCCAATGACAGAACAATGAAATTAAATCCCTACCTCTCATTCTGTACAAAAATCTATTCCAAATGGATCAAAGACTTAGGTATAAGACTTGAACATCTGAAACTCCTAAAAGAAAACATACAGGGGCTGGGGATTTAGCTCAGCAGCATAAGCACCTGCCTTGCAAGCAGGCAGTCGTGAGTTTGATCCCTGGTACCGATAAAAAAGAAAAAAAGACCAAAAAAAAAAAAAAAAAAAAAAAAGAAAACATATGGAAAATATTGGCCACAGGGCATGGGAGAAGACTTCTTCAGCAGGACTACAATAGCACAGAAAATAGCAGGAATCAGCAAATGAAAATCCATCAAATTAAAAATTCTTTGCACAGTAAGAGAAACAAATAACAGAGCAAAGAGAGCCTACGGAATGGGAGAAAACCATTGCCAGCTACTTTTCCAACAGAGCATCAATATCTAAAATAGTTTTAACAAACCAGGCGTGATGGCTCATGCCTGTAATCCCAGCACTCGGGAAGCTGAGGCAGGAGGATAATTGCAAATTTGAGACTAGCCTACGCTACAAAGTAAGCTTAAGGCCAACCTGAACTGCCTAGAGAGACCCTGTCTCAAAAAGACAAAAAAAAAAAAAAATTAAGACAATAAAATTTCCCAGCCAATAAATGGACATACAAACTGAACAGACATGTCTCAAGGAAGCACAAAAGGCCAACAAATGTATGCAAAAATTTTTGACACCTTTAATACACAATCATGACTGCATTGAAATTTCATCTCACCCCAGTCAAAATGGCTATCAAGAATACAAAAAATAAAGGCAACTGAGGAAGACAAACACTTCTATACAGATGGCGAGAACATTAATGGCAATAAGTTTCTCAAAAACAAACAAACAAAAAAAATAGAGCTACCATCTCATCCAGCTAGCCCACGCTTTGGTATATATCCAAAGAAATTAAATTCAGCATACTACAGAGATACTTGAAAACACATGTTTATTGTGGCACAATTCACAATAGCCAAGATACGGAAACAACCCTATGCCCATGAACAGATGAATGGGTAAAGAAAACGTAGCATATATAACATAATGGAGACTCAACCATGAAGAACAAAATTTTTTCCTTTGGCTCAGGAGATCATCACATTGAACAAATTAAGCCAGACTTAGACAAATATCACATGTTCTCCCTAATAGGTAGATATTATTTCATGTTGTACATTAGACAATCTAGGTAAACAAATCAGAAATTTTTTGTTTGTATTTTTAAGATGACCACTAAGGTAACTTTATTAGAACAAATACATATAGTTTTGTATTCACACATGATTTTGAGCAACCCATTCACTACCAAAAATGTGACAGTAAATTTATGAATAATTGTTGCCAAAAACACTTAAAGGCATGATCTAATGCAATAATTAGAAATTATGAAAACATTAAAATTTCCTCCATTATCTACTTCGTCTTTCAAGAACTCCAGAACCCAACAAAATCCCTTTATTTGGCAATTTTTTGTAAAATTCAATAAAAATAGTATTTCCTGAAAATTTTTAAAGAAATAGGCACACAGGAAATAAGAAAATAAAAATATCCTTACTGTGGGCTTAATAACCAATACTAATGGGCCAGAAGAGGAAGACAAGATAAAGCCAGTATAATTTATAATAATTCTGGCTTATAATATGTTTCATTTATGAAGACTCAGATCTTGTGCATAATTATAGGCAAATATACTGACAATCTTTTGAAACTTCATGGAAATAAAATAGCCATTAGTGTATTTCACGATGATAAATTTTTGTCAACTTTTCTAAAAAGCCATCTGGGAAATTACCAACCTATTTGAGATTTATTGTGAATTTTTTGCCTTTATAGTTTACTGAGAGATGATGACTACTAGTTATTACCTTCAGTTATAACAACATATTAAAATACTGCTTTTATATAGAGAAACATTTATACAAGAATGCACAACTCTGTAACCCAGAAATACATTCTAAAAAGCCACATAAAAACCTGTGAATCAGCAGCAGGGCCAAGGAAAATGAAAGGTTTCTATTTCTCTCAGAGTCTATAACAAATAAAAGTTACTTCATGCCTGGAAAAAAGGAACACTCTAAAATTATACCCTAGTAGGCTACAAACATCATTAACAATGATTTTCCAGAGTTACATGTCATGTAATACACAAGGTCTACAAACTTCAAAAGGGTACAGACTCATTTAAAGATATCAACATGGTTTCTGCTCTAAGAGCAGAAAGAGAGAAGGGCTCTGGAAGAAAAAAGAAGTGTAGAATATAGAGGCATGTCTCTATTTGTAGGTGCATTACATAGAAATGTATCACGATACCAAGGTCCAGTACCGGTGGGCCTCTGGGTGGTAAGAAGGTGGAGGGGTACATGGAAAACAGTATGAGCTGAGACTCGCCAGAAGCCAACAGCCAGCAAATCACAAGGACCTCTGTGCTACAATCACAAAGAAATAGATACTGCCACACTTACACAGACTTGGAAGAAGACAGTCCAGGAGACAACGTGGTGCCAATTGTATGACCCAAAGAAATACACAGAAACAGGTAAGTTTTTAGGATTTTTGGTTGCCACATTTGTGGTCTGTTGGGAATCAAAGAAAATGATCTGCAGCCATCTAGCTATGCAAAATGTTTTGGAAACATCACTTTGCCAGGAAGTCAGGAGACTACCTATCTAAGAATCAACTAAACTAAACAGATACCAACTAAATGTCTGCCAAATACTGTAAGACAATCACTTTAGCAACGCGTATCTGCCAAAGCTTACTCACTGGGTTAATTCCTCATTGATGCTTGCCACAAATCCCGCAATGGAGTTCTGCCGGTTTATAATATCATGGAAACAATCGATACCAACGAACATTGTTTTCCGTAACTTCATTTTAAAGAAAAAGGTAGTGAATTGAGTTAGAATATAAACAAAACTTAATCATTAGATCAAACACAGACTATTAAATTCCACTAAACATAAATTAAGAGAGTATAATGAAATCATACATACATTTGTTTGCACCTTCCAGAGGGCTCCTCCCATCTTGCAGTTCATCTGCTGGGCAATCTTTGTAATAATGGTCATATAAGTTTTCTTAAACTCTAAGGTCTCTGCTAGTACACACTGGCTTGGAGTCGGGCATTTGATACACAGATATTTTTTTATTGCATCATACCTGTATTTCTCATTGTCAGGCAGTACACAAACTACCTTGAAAGCAAGCAAATGTTAAAGTCTTAAGACCATCTCAAGGTACAGTGCCAACAAACTAAAGTCTATTTAAGATAATACTGGAGTCTAAGAGGGTGGAGGGTCTAGAGTTACATTAGAGGGTGAAGGTGTGTACAAGAAAAATGCTGCAAACAGTCAATTCAGTAATGTGCACCAATTGCTTCAATTGAAAAATACTTTTTCCTGAGTATTCCATTTAGGGAACTTACCCAGGGGGTGACAAGGGTGTATTAGGGACATAGAAAGATACAGTATCAGGATAGTCATCACTTGCAGGGTGATCATTATATGTAGGGTACTTGCTAGTATCTTACTTTACTCAGTTAATTCTTTCAAGCACCCACTGATACAGCTACTATTCTGCCCATTTTACTGCTGAGAGAACAGGCTTGGAAACCACCTGACTTATAAGGCTTCAAAGATTGGGAAGGACCTCCAGCAAGCCCACCAAGCAGTTAGGAAAGATGGTTCCCACGTGGCCTGACCCTGACTTCAATAGACACCTCAGCAAAATGTAATTAACACGATGCCTGTAAGAAATTTCTGGTAGACGTTCTTTATCAGATTAAAGAACTTCTCACAACATATTAAGTTTTCTTACTTTCACTAGAAAAGGTGTGAAATTTCAATTGTATATGATCTGCACTTATTAAGAGAACTATTTCCCCATATTTCATTATATCAGTTATTTGTATTTTCCTGTAAGTTATTTCAATATTTCAGTTTACTAAGACACAGTAACTGTGTGTTCTTTGCACGTTTCTTTCATCTCCAGTGACTACACTAATGAACTCTACTGGCTCCTAATGTTTAACCTTAGTCTTTCATTTCTTCATTCTTGAGGATGTAAAAGTTAATATTTTCAAAGAACCAGTTTTAAACTTGTTGTTTTCCATATTGCCTCTGATTTTGCTTTGTTCCTTTTATTTGTTGCATCCATATTGTGGTTTCCCCTGTTCTGAGTGTTTTAAATTCAAGAATCTTGGCATGTTCAGAGTGTATAAGCCCATTATCTACTTGATTCATATAAATTTTGATGCATATATAGTACTTTCATAATCCTTACTTCTGAGGACTTGTTTTCTTTTTCTCCTTAATATTATTCTACCAGTTACTGCCTAGGAACCACCTAAAGTTTCAGCTTCTGGGATAACATAATCTCATCTCCTGGGAAGACACAGTCAAGCTGGATGACAGCATAGAAATATTCCTGCCTAAGACTCAATGGGTCTAAGAAGGCAATAATCACAGGGATTATGGCAAGAGGGAACTGAGGACTCAAATGATGCCAGCCACTGAGGCTGTATTTTCTCGTGGTTATTTATCCATCCCAGTGAATAAGGCGAGAGGATTTAAAGAGAATGACAGTCTCACAGATGAAATTCACTATGTTATAGAGGTATATCTGCATTTACTACAAGTTTAGTAAACCAATGGAAGCATCCTAAATTCTAAGATACATAAAAAATGTAGTTTTAAAACAACCATTACTGAATGCACAAATAATAAGCAGACACTTACCATGGTCGTTTGTGAGGTAACACATCTTTGTAATGTAGATATATAAGAGTTAGGGTCATCTACTGCTTGCCTAGAAAATAAATTTATTCTCAATATTCACAAGAGAATGAATAAAGAAACACAAATCTTTACCATAATGAATGAAATATAAGATGTCAAGATGTTAAATAAAACTAGAAGTTTATTTAAAGAAAAAAAAGAGACTTTTAGATTCATGTTCCCTTTGTAAGGGGCTTAGAAGTCACCACTCAGTCACAATACCAAGTAAAAAGCCCAACAGACTGACAAAAAAAAAATTGAACAATTCTTCTAGTATCCCTAATAGTGGTGAGGACACAGGGCAAACTGTTGCCTCCAAGATAGGAAAAACAGGTGAACATGGGGAGGAACATCTCACCTGAGCAGGAAGACTCGGAGAAAAGCTCCCAGGGAAATGGTTCCAGGACCAAACCAACCAACTTAAACTGTGATCGACACCCTGGAGGCTCCAAGTATACAACTGTGAGGATTAAAAACGCCAGGTTTTTAATCCTGACAGTCACCAAGAGGCCTCCACAGTTTGGCAAGATTTACCTGTAGGACAGAGGTCCAAGCCAGCCAGCAAGAAGCAAGCAGAGGGCAAGCAAGTGAATCTTCATCTGTATTCACAGCCACTCCCCATCAGCTGCATTACTGCCTGTCGCCGCCTGTCGCCACCTGTCAGATCAGCTGTGGTCTTAGACTCCCACAGGGAATACAAATGCTAGTGTGAACTACACTCAAGGGATCTAGGTTGCATGATCCTTATGAGAATCAAATGGCCGGTGATCCGAGCGAGAGCTGAAGGGGTAATGCTAGTCCTGGGGAGTGGCCACAAATACAGATGAGAGTTAATGGAGCAGTGGGACTACACAGAAAGTATAGTAAGTCAATTGCTTGCAGACTCATACCAAAACCCTATTAGTGAATGGCAAGTGACAAATTATACCTGTTGGCAGGCTATTTAGTAGAGCTAATGAGATGTATTTCAACTATACAGTTGCACCTGCTGGCATCTCAAAGTCAGAATCCAGTGCTTATTTCAGTCTGTGCATGGCCTGCCCATTATTTTATTTACCACTTCCATCTGTGCCTCAATCCCCCACTGTACACTTGTCTCAGTCACAGTTCTGGTAAGCCCACAGGCTAACCTTAGCCAAAAGAAAAAAAAAAAAAAGTCAAATGTCCCTGAAGAGCTTCTCTGAATAAGGAGAAAGACCCAAAGGTGATACAGTAAAAGACCCTAACACTGCCAACAAAAAGAAAGTGGCATTTAAAGCATGGTGTGGGTGCATATGCCTGTAATCCCAGCACTCAGGAGGCTGAGGCAGGAGGCCTGCCATGAGTTTGAGCCCAGTTTAGGCTACACAGTGAGTTCAAGGCCTGCCTGAACTATGTATGAGACCCTGTCTCAAAAAAAGAAAGAAAGCGGGGAGAGAGAGAGAGAGAGAGAGACAGAGAGACAGAGTAAAAGAAAGAGGGAAGGAGGGGGAAAGAAGGAAGGAAGGAAGGAAGAAAGGAAGGAAGGAAGGGACGGAGGTTGATTTAAAGTACCAAGAGTCTTTCTTAAATTATAGGTTCACTGCAACAAGTGATACACATTCTCCAAGCCTATTTGTGTAATGTGCAGTGAAGAGATACCCAACGAACCCATAAAACTTTCAAAACTGTTTTGCTGCATGAAGACCAAGTACCCTGCATTAAAAGATAGTCATTTGGAGCTGTGCAAAAGAAAAATGTGAACACAAAAAACAGAAGCAATTACTGAAGGCTACCTCTTGGTGAAGTCTCTGCTCTAACAGACTATTCTTAATAGCCGTGTTGCCGAGTTAAGCCCTTCACTCTGGGTAAAGAGTTGATTCCACCTGCTGCTAAGGACATTTGTCATTAACAAGTAGGAGAGCCTGTGGTTCAAGAGGTGGTACGTGTTTCTCTTTTTACTATAACTAGATGAATTGAAACAGAAGACACTGAGGCACAATTGTTAGAATTAATGAATCACTACGGTATGTAACCCAAGTTGAGTCTTATCAGTGTTGACAAAATAGTTGTTTTTGTGCAATATAATTTTCAGGACACACATGAGGATAAATTGTGTGTACTTTTGTTGCCAAACACAACCACAGTTGCAAAACTGTTCAAGTCTCTAAATGATTACAAGTCAGGAAAACTGAATTAGCCTTTTATGTTGGAGTATGCATAGACAGAGTGGTTGCCATGACTGGACAGCTTTTTTATTTTACTACTTAAGTCCAAGAGATTGCTTCCAAATGTGAGTCTACACACTATCATCCATTGAGAAATATTGGCTAGCAGAAAAATATCACCTTAATTTAAAGCATATCCTTTAAAATGTGAAGTTATAACCACATTAAAGTGCATGCCCTGAACTCGTATCTGTTGGCACAGCTCTGAGAAGAATGTGGAGCAGTCAAGTCCTCTCTAATACCTGAAGCAAGGGGGCTAATATGGATTCATTCAAAGTCAAATTGGAATTATGGGAATGATGACTGGACATTGGGATTTTTGACCTGTTCTAGAAATCAGCAGACATTTTGAAAGTGAGTGAGCCAGGTTTCTCCCAGCTAGTGCATGATGCCTACTTAGCTTTCACAAGACTTTGAGCACAAAAGACCCCTAAACTGGGAAGGAATGGACCTATTGCCCAACTGTGAATAATCCAGGTGAACTGACTTTGTGCTAGAAGAGGATCAACTGCTAGAGATCAAAAATGATGGACTTGAAAATATGTTAGAGGGAGACATGGTAATCCCAGCACTTGGGAGGCTGAGGCAGGAGGACTGACATTAGTTTGAGTCCAGACTGAAATGATATAGTAAGATTTAGTCTTAAACACACACATGAAAAATGTTTGAGACAACTTCAAATCTCCATTTATTCTGGATTAAAGTTCAGGTAAAATAGCCTACGATTGCCACAAAAAGCACTAAAAAGCCATCTTTCATTTCCAAAACACTATCCTACCTTTGTGAAAGAGAATTTTCTGCGGGGACAGCATCCAAAATGAGATTACCGAGTAGACTTGACACAAGCAACACACTGTCTCCCATCACGCTTAGAGGGGGTCACCCAGTTGCAGGAAAACATGCTCCAGGCTCCCACTGATTCTGCAGTATGCTAAGTCTGTATAATTACTTCATTATATATTACAATGTACTAGAAATAGCATGTACAATAAATGTAATGCACTTGAATCGTTCCAACCCAGCCCTCCTCCCTCTGCTCTGCCCCATCAGTGGAAAGCTGTCTTCCACAAAACTGGCCACTGGTGGCAAGAAGGCTTGGGACCACTGCTCTACAAAAAAAAAAATCAACCAGTTCTTCACAGAAGATGTCAGAAAAAATTTCCTGCTGCCCCTAACCAAGGGAAGAAAACATTCCCTTCTGAAATACTCCCAGAGCATTCTTTTCTTCCTAACAAGGCCTGTCTTCAGGAGAAAGTACTTAACTAATCCTAATCCACATGAGGAAAGGGAAATATAAACTCTAGTCAGTTCCAGCCTTCTATAAGGTAGAAAAGAAATACCCACATAGTATCAACCAGTTATCCTGTCCCACATAGCAAAGGAGTAAAATGTAAAACATTTATGAAGTTTACAGTCCAGGACACAATCTCACTAAGCAAATGAGAATTACAGGACTGCAGTTCCCTACACCTTACAGCCACATGATTAGAGGTCTATTTATAGCACATTCTTTTCCCACATGGTAAATCACATCTAGTCATGGGGAAAATTACAAGGCATACCAAAAGTTTAAAAAGTACACAAGTCAGGGGCTGGGAATTTAGCTCAGTGGCATAAGCACCGGCCTTGCAAGCACATGGTCGTGAGCTCAATCCCTGGTACCAAACAAACAAAATACACAAGACAGAGCAAACTTCAGAACCAGATAATAGAGGATGTTGGAATTATCAGAAATTTAATAAGATAAGGGGTTATGAAAAAGAAAAACCAGACAACTTTTTTAAAAAGCAGAAGTATCCCCTCTCCTCAATACTCCTTTTAAATTGAAAATTTTATTAATGTAATGTAGAAGTCAAAAGTAGATTAGTATATAAAACAAACTGTCTTTGTTTGTAGATGCCATGTCTATGAAAAAAATCTGAAAGAATCAACTCCTGAAACTAACAGGGGATTATAGCAAGGTTACAGGATACAATGTTAATATGCAAAAATCAATTGATTTCTTTATGCCAGCAATTAACAAAACAGAATTTGAGAAGAATTTAAAATATAGTATCATTTATATTAGCATCCATTCCCAAAATTTAATATTTAGGCATACATCAAAATAAGTATAAGATCAAGTGTGGGAAGCTATACTTTCTATGGAAATATACTTTAAAAGAACTAAAAGGACAAATATCCCATGTTAATGAATAGAAAGATGCTACTATCACAATCTCAGTTTTTCTGAATTTAACCTAAAGATGTAATATAACCCAGACAAAACTACAGCGAATTACTTTGTGGATATTGGCAAAAGGATTTTGAAAGATTGAAAGGAAAAGCAAAAGACTCAAAACAACCAGAATAGGGCCAGGGATTTAGTTCAGTGGCTCAAGCACTTGCCAGGTAATTGTGAGGTCGTGAGTTCAATCCCCAGTACCAAAAAACAAAAAACTCGACCAGTATAATATTGAAGAAAAACAAAGACCAAACTGTCCAATCTCAAGACTTGCTAGAAAACTACCCAGTGTGTGGTATTGGTAAGAGCATAAACAAATTGATCAGAGGTAAAGAATATAGCTAAAAACAGATTCGTGTAAATAGAGTCAAGGAACAAAGATGATACAATGAAGTAAAAATATTTTTTTTCAATAAAATGATCCTGGTGCCCATTGAACAACTTTATGTAAAAAAATAGATAAAAATTCTAGACAAACCTTAAACACTTCTCAAAAATTAATACAAAATGGACTCTAAACCTAAATATAACAAAAATATAGAACTCCTGGAGTTTTATAGGAGAAAACCTCCATGATTTTGTTATGGCAGGAACTTTGGGTATAATATCAAAGGTATGGTCCATGAAAAAATATCAGTAGAACTTCATTAAAATTAAAAATCACTGCTCTAGAAATGACATTGCCATGAAACTGAGAAGAAAAGCTACAAACTATGAGAAAATACTTGCAAAAGTCACACCTGATAAAAGACTATTATCCAAAACATACCAAGAACTCTTAAATCAGGCATGATGGTGCATACCACAATCCCAGCACTTGGGAGGCTGAGGCAGGGGGGATTCACCACAAATTCAAGGCCAGCCTGAACTACATAACAAGACCCTGTCACAAAAACAAAAACAAAGAAAAGAATTTGATCCCTGGTATCAAAAAAAAAAAACTCTTAAAACTAATGAACAACCTGATTCTTTTGTGTATTTTTGAGACAGGGTCTCACACTTTGTAGTTCAGGCTGGCCTCGTGCTCACTGTGCATTCCAGATGGCCTTGAGCTCATGATGATCTTCCTACCTCAGTTTCTTGAGTGCTAGATTACAGGAGTTTGCCATGATGTCCAGCAACAATCTGGTTTTAAATGAACCAAACACTTTAACAAACACCTTCCAAGGAAGATACTAAGATGAAGATAAATAAGTAAACATATGAAAAGAAGCTCCAGGACCAGCAATATAGCTCAGTGGCATAAGCAATTGCATTCCTTGGTATCTACTCAAAGGTGTTGAGAACCTATATCCACAGAAGCTTTATTCAAAACCATGAAAACTCAGAAGTAACCAAGATGTCCTTCAGTAGATGAATAGATAAACTGTAGTACATATATAGACAGTGGAATAGTATTCAGTACTAACAGTGCTGGGACGGGCACCATGACTCACACTTGTAATCCCAGCTACTCAGGAAGCTCAGGCAGGAGGCTACAAGTTCAAGACCAGCCTGGGTAACAGCGTTAGAATGCTTCAGGTACCTAACACACCTGAAACTCTGGGTTCAATCAGCAATATATAAAAGTGACTGAAAAAGGAGGAGGAAGAGGATGAAAGTGAAGACAGAGGAAGAAGAGGACAAAGAGGAAAGAAGAGGAAGGAAGAGGAAGACAGGCTAAATAGGAAGGAGGAGGAGAAAGAAAGAAAAAGGAGGGCAAGGGAAAAGGACTAGGGAGAGGGAAAAGAAGGGGAAGGGAGAAGAGAGGAGAGAAGGAGGGGAAAGGGGAATAGGAGGAAGAAGCGGGGGAGGAGGAAAGGGGACGTGGAGGATGAGGGCAGGAGGCGGAGAGATGAGCTGCCAAGCCGTGAAGAAACTTAGGTGGAAGAAACTTAGATGCACATTAGCTAAAAAAGCCAATCTGAAAAGGCTACATACTGTGTACTTCTAAGTACATGACATTCCAGGAGGCAAAACAGTGGAGACAATAAATGTACCACTCAGGCAAGGGAAGATAATGAGAACGTATGCACACCTGAAAGGCAAGGGGTATATGGGAAATCCCTACCTTCCTCTTCATTTGGCTCTGAACCTAAATTTGCTCTAAGAATTGAAGTCTCCTTTTAAAAAAAGAATTTTAATTTTTCAAAATATGATTGGGACCTAGTTCTTTATACTCTCCATTCAAATTGTTAATTCTCAGCCCCCCTGGTAAGCAGCTGTGCTGTGGCAGGCTGCGGCTGCCCCAGGGCGAGAACCACCAGCGTCTCCTGAGATCGGCGCTGCGCTGAAACTTAGGGTGCTGGGAAACCAAGCAATCAGCTCGCCTCCCTGATACATGGCCATGAGCCTACCAGTGCCAGGCTGAGAATCAAACATCCCATCTCCCCCCTCCCCCGCCCCGGTTAGCAAATGGGAGCCAAAGATCTGAGCATCTCTTGGGAGGCTGATCATATTCAATATAGCAAATAAGGGAGATTTCTTTCTACCATCTCTTTGAAGGCAAATGTTGTTTTCACTATTTTCTTTATTCTAATTAGTAGTATTGCTTGATTCAATGTTATTTTGATAAGTTATTTGATATGTTATTTTGACAGAACAACTATTGTGAAGATAAGGAGATATACTATGGAACCTATTACTGTTATTCTGGTAACCTGCTGTGAGGTTCTGCACCAATTTCACTGCACTGTCTAAACTGGCTTTGTTCCATCTTGTCCTGTTGCATTTTACTACCTTCAAAATAAAAGATTTTTAAAAATTGTTAATTTTCATGTCTTTTTCCACATGTCATAATAGCCACAAATCATAGAACACAAAATGACATTTTAATATTTGTTGCCTGGCAAAGATTAAACTTCATTTACAAGGTTTCAGAGCTTCATTAAATTATTCCTGAAAGTTAATGTTTCGGTGACTCCACACTTAGATTGCTAGCACATCTATCCGATTGTTTCAGCTTCACACTGGAAATAATTTCTGCTCTACTTACAAATATCCTTCGTCCCCAGTTACGCCCATGGGATCATTGACTCTTTTTAAATTGTGCTGTAAGGCTTTGGCTTGGAGCTCGTATTCCTTGGGGTAAAGTAGCACCCACTTATTTAGTGACTTTGCTGAAAGTAACCATGTACTTCTTGATTCTCTCATCCACTCTGCTAGCTCTTGGTTAACATCAAACTGGAAAAGAATTCAAGACGTAAAACATTTTATTGTTTTTAAATCAATTACTCAAGGTCCTTTTCCATTGTGTATCTGTGCTATTTCCAATTGAAAGCCCAAATAATGACTGGATTCAATACTTAAAACAGAATTAGTAAAACAGGAAATCTGTAATAGGTGTTAAGAAGTTTCAAGACTGTTAGAGTAGGACAACTCCCATAGTTTTAACTCCTAAGTAGGCAAACCAAAGCCCAAGGTAATAAACTATGAACTGTATCAACCAGAAACCACCAACTAACCTCCAGCTAGGATCCTCCCACCCTATCCAATTGAATATATTTTGTTTTACTTCCATGTCAGCCTATGTGAACTTGCCACCCAGACTGCTGGCATGGAGCTCTCAGAACTTCTGCTCTGAGTACTGACCAATTCATGAATCTATCTTTCCTCAAATACTGTTGAGACTTTCATCATCTACAGTTTTTCTTTTAACCCGGATTCCTGTATTTAACATTGTTTGATTCTAGTATTTGATCTGTAAGGGTACATTTGAAAGATTGATCTTCCAAAAATCTGTGAGCAAATATCCATAATACTAACTAGATAATAGTGTATCATGGCTTATTACATGCTGAGCACTTTATGCACATGATTATTCAATGTCTGTCTGCCCTCTCATATAGAAAAAAATACATGGTCTAAAAGGAGAGCAAGATTCAGTTATTCACATGGCCAAATCCATTTCATTTTGCAGGACTTATTTGATCCAACTATGACAAACACAACCTTGAATCCTTCTTACCGATTTCTTACGCTGGACTACTTTTACACCTCCCAAAACTCTTCCCAAGACGGACAAACAGTTGGTATCAAAACTCAGACTCCAGCATTGAAGGTCACTTTGTTCTGTCAAATTTCTGAAAATTAAAATATTTCCAGTGTGCTCAAACTAAATAAGAAAAAGCAGTTAGCTGAGGGCAATTTGTCTTGAACCAGAAGGTCATTATTGTTTGTCCCACAGATAAAACTCCCTGAAACACTGATATAATGTTGTCTTTTTTTCTCCTGTTCACACAAGCAACTGAGCCTCTGTTTCATTACCCACCCAACTTCTCTACCATTGCAATGGCTGAAAAATTAGAGTTGCTCCTCCTCCCAAAAAAAGAATTCCATTTTCTTTGAAACAGCCAATTTTTAATAGAAGAATTTGAGACGTCAAAGGGATAAACACAGGTCTTGACTTGAGTGCAACATGACACACAGGCATAAACACAGTCATAAAAGAAGCACTTACTTGTTTACGTTTCTAACAAAGTTTTCTGATTCTGTCTTCCTAACCTCAGGAGGCTGCTTCATTAATTTAGTCAAATTACCCATCTCGTTAGGTTTTTGCTCCACGTCATCTGGTAGCCCTTTAAAAATTCAAAAAATACAGCTGCACAGGTGAGAATAAACTTATATTTGAAAAGACTTAACTGTGGTATCAGAGGTGGGGCAGAGATCAACCAACCAATGTAGCAGATACAATTCTGGGTCAGGGAGACCTCTTTGAAAAGCTTGAACGTTTTCACAACTAAATCTGATTTGTGAAGAGGGGCTGCCTTCTTTAGAGACCACCTATGTCAGCAGTACCTGTCAGGTAGCAGAGCTCAGGAACCAGCAGTATAGGCTCAGGTGATATATTCCTCTGGCCCCTTCTCCACTTCCCTTGGCTGACCAAGAGTGGCTGATTTAAGTCAGTGATAATCTGATTATATTGCTGTTCGAAAGAAGCAAGAAATCTTCCATGACCATCAGCAAAACCAAAATAACATCACATAAATAGACACATATACTCGCTTAGGGAATTACATAAAGGCCCAGACACATGCTAGTGAGAGCTTTTCCCCCAGGCATAAGAATGTGTATATTCTTTTAAAATTGTCTTACTATCAATGTTCCAGGGATCATGCGATTGTTTTTCTTGTACATAGCCAAATGCTCTAGGGGTCACACAAAACATTCAAGTCATTGTGCTACCTTCCTCTAAATTGTATATACAGATGGGTGACAGACACTTAATATGTGGCTCTCACCAGGCTTGCCTTTAGAATTTCTAAAGCATACTGAAATTTTTAAAGAGGACTCTTACCTCAAAGGGATAGGGAGAAACCCAGCCACCTTTTAAATTTCCAATTACACATCTATTCCGATCCTTCTCCTGTATTATTGTCCCTACTTTCAGTCCCTGTTTCCAGCAAGACAAGACATTTGCAAAAAAGACAACAATAGATTCTCCACATAAAGTGTCGACTAAAGCCACAGAAACTATTCCTTCTACAAAGCAGGAGTTGCCACCACCCCTGACTGAGACAGGGTCTAGAACAGAATCTGACCATGATGAGTCAGTAGCAGAGCTCGAGGAGCAAAATTCAAATGAGCAACCACACAACAAGCCCAGCTAGCAGCAACAGCAGAAATCGATGAAGAACCAATAAGTAGATCAAAACAAAGTCAGAATAAGAGAACTCATGGAAGCTTAAGTCCAAACTAGGTCTTTAGCAGGTTACAGGGGTTACTAGAGTCAATATGTGCGAACATAATATCCTTTTTGTCACCACAAAACCAGATGTCTACTAGAGCCCAGCTTCATATACCTACACAGTTTTGAGGGAAGTCAAGATTTAGGATTTATCTCAGCAAGTACAGTTAGCAGGTGCCAAGAAATTCAAAGTTGTCTAAACATTCATGAACACATAGAGACTCCAACTGTACAATAGGAAAAGGTTGATGAAACAGATGTGAAAGTTAATGGCATAGAATTGGTATGTCATAAGAAAATGTTTCCAGGGCAGAGGTGGTCTAAGCCCTGAAGTCATGACACTACAAGTCTATTAGAAAACTGACAATGTAACCATCTGAAAGGACTTTTTCTTCTGGGTTTTTTCTGGTTTTGCTTTTGGGGGATTTGTTTGTTTGTTTTGATGTTCCTAAGTATAACTGCATCTTGGTTTGAAATTTGTCCTGTTTCTATCGCTAGTAAAGTTATGATTTATTGGATGGAAAAAAGTAACAGAACTGGGTGCAATTCTTGAACAAAGTACCTTCCTTCCAAACAAAACAGTGACCCTTCCTAGACTCTTCCATGCTGCCTGCGACGAGGTCCTTGCCTATGATAACTTATAACGCGAATTCTAGCATCATTTGTCCTTCAAACACATGAAAAGTTCCCACCTTAAACAAGAAGCTTTCAAATCCCGTGTTCACAGCTATTCTTCTTAAGTTGAGTACTATCTTCTACTCTTATGATATTAATGCAGGTTGCATTTTTTTCTTATAGTGGAGATAGCTTTTTAAAGGCAGCTGGGATCTAGCCCTGTTTCCCTGTCCTAGAGCCTTCTTGTGGCATATGATTATTAATATGCACCTTGCAACTTCAGGAAAACATATCAGGTCCAAAACAACCCCCACGCCAGCTCCTCCAGACTCTCCCATCACAGAAAATGATGCCACCATCCACTCATTCCCTCACGTGAAGCCAAAGGGTTATACTATCCTCTTACTGTCACTCAAAAGACCCAGACCAGTATCATCTACCCAAAACCCTTTTAACAACCTCCCCACTGAATTCCTGCCTCCGGTTTTTACGTATACATGGCCCATTCTCTACATTAGATAAGTGATAATTGTAAAAGACCTTCTTAAGTCATCTACATCACACCATTTGATAATAAAATTCAGTTTAACTCAGTGCACAAAATTTTACATAAGATCTTAAGATAGGCAAATAAGAGAACTGTGCTGATAACTATAAGAAATATTATGGAAATTGTCTGGATGTTAGACTAGATCAAGGAAAGTTTCTCTGAGAAGTTGATAAGGGAATGTCCAAAGGAATGAGCTGTCCCACACACACACCCTCCGGTAAAGGCACAACCCCTGCCCTGTTCATGCAGCCCACCCCTGTAACTCTGCCATTGCTCTCTAAAGGACATACCAGCTTTGTGCGACACAGGGACAGAGCAGGCCTATCCTTGAAACACTGCCCTGATTCTTCTCTCCTTGATCTGCACGCAGCTCACTCATTCCTTTAGACACACCTTTATCAGCTTCACAGAAAAGCTTTCCTTGACCACCTGGTCCCAGACAATTTCCATCATATCTCTTACAGTTATCAGAATAGCTTCCTTATTTGCCACTCCGCTGCCTGCTACAAGGATACAAGCTCCTTGAGGTGAGATAACGGTCTTAGAATGGATATCTAGATTACACAGGAGGCATTCACTAATGCTTTTTCATTAAAGGTACAAGTACTAAAGTATGGCACACAGAGGAGGAGAAGGTGCTAACTGCAACCATCTCCTTGGTATGTGGCAGAGCTTGGCATTTGAGGGCTCCAAGTCACCAAATTTGGGTTCCTATATAAAAACAGAAGTTGCTGTATCATTCATGTGCAATCTGTTGTTTTAATAATCTTACTTTCATCTGTCAAAACTAGAAAATCACTTACCAACTGGTACATCTTAATTTATTGATCTAAATATACTTATTTCTCTATGAATACTCAGATTTAATAGTAAAGAAGCCATGGGGCCAGGGATAGGGCACAGCGGCACAGTGCCTGCCTGGCAAGCATGAGATTATGAGTTTGATTCCCAGTACCAAAAAAAAAGCCATGAATTATACATAACATTTTGAACATAACTGAGATCACTTCAGATGGTAAGTGGTCATTCCATCTATGTTACACTCACCCTACACACAAAGCAATCAATTACATGACTCAATATATATCAAATAAATGTAACTCAAGCCACAGTCCCAAAAGGAAAATATTAATACTTGCATATTGAAGGCATCTAAATAAGACATAAGAATTTAAACTAACTATGAAAAGGTTATGATTACAAAATATATTTAAACAAAATTTCATACCTGCATGTAGTAGTCTACAAAGGTGATTTCACTGCTATCTGATCTTTTAAATGTATCTCTAGGACTCAGATCCCAGTTAACAGCAGCCACCTTGTGGGTTTTGTTGTTGTATCTGTGGTATAATTGCAGTGTAAAAGATTATTCCTGACTTACTTATAACAAAGCACAAAATAAGTTTTAAATTCTATTAGCCTGCTTGGATGTAATTTACATACTATATAACTCACCAAGTAAGAGAATAAGCCCTTGGTTTTTAATATATCCACAGAGTTGTGCATTCACCACAGTTTTAGTACTTTTATTTTCGGTCCTGGGGATCAAACTCATTATCTTGCACTTGCCAGGCAGGCACTTGTGCTATATCCCTGGCCCCAGTTTTAGTACTTTTTGTCTTTCAAGGAAAGACTCCATAACCATAAAGGATCACTCATTTTACTCAAGCCTTCCAGCCCTAATGCAGTCACTAATCAAATTTCTGTGTCTATACATTTGCCTAGTCACACATTTAGTATAAATTGGATCATACAACATGTGACCTTGCATCTTCTTTGATTTACATAACATTTTAAAGATTCATTTGCGCTGTAGCAAGCGTTGATATTTAATTCCTTTTGTTTCCAAATAACATTTTATTACATGGATATACACTACATTTTGTTCACCAGTCGACAGATATTGGGATTCTTTACATTCCGTGTTACTATGAATCATGTTATAGACATTCATGTGCCAATATTGGTAGACAGTTTTTATTTCTCTTAGATATATCCCTAGGTGTGGAATATCTGAATCAACACAAACTGTTTTCCAAAGAAACTTTACTTTATATTCCAACTGGTAGTATATGAGGGTTGGTTCCACTTTTCCCACATCCTCAACTTTTTTTTTTCCGTCTTTTTCCTTTTTATTGGTAATGGGGATCGAACTCACGATCGCCTACTTGCAAGGCAGGTGCTTATGCTGCTGAGCTAAGCCCCCAGCCCCCATCAACTTGTTAATAGCTCTTTATTTATTTTAACTATCTGAATGGATGTGAAATGGAATCTCCTTTGATTTTCATTTGCATTTCCCTACTGGCTATTTTTAAGTGTTCTCATTGGTCATTAGTATTTCCTTATGAGAAGGGTCTGTGGAGTTAATCTAGTCAGATCCTTTGCCCATTCTTTAAAATGGAATTCTTTTAATTATTGAATTGTGATCTTTTTATATTCTAGATACAAGTTTCTTTAGAGACTTGCAAGAATTTTCTCCTTTTCTGTCAGTTGTCCTCTGACAGTGTAACTTAAAACAAAAGTTTTAATTTGGTAAAATCAAATTTATGTAATTTTTCTTTTGTCACATGTATGCTTTTTTGTGTCCAACCTAAGAAGATTCCATTTAACCCAAAATCAAGACAGTTTACTCCTATATTTTCTGAGAAAACTGTGCTAGGTAGTAATTCCAGCACTTCAGAAGCTGAGGCAGGAGGATAGCTACAAGTTTGAGGCCAGCCTGAGCCACATAATGAGACCCTGCCTCAAAAGAACAAACATGAAGAAGATGAAGATGACCAAGAGGAAGACGAAAAAGAACACATGATGCAGTCCCGGCTGGCCTTGAACTCATTGTGTAGCCTAGGCTAGCTTTGAACTTGCAGTTATCCTCCTACCTGAGCCTCCCAAGTGCTGGAATTACAGGTGTGCACATCTGTGCCCGGCCCCCATCTATTTTTTACCTATTAATATTTCTATCTGCCTGTCCTCCTATTATGCTTACCCCTTTTGTTCCATCCTCCTCTTTTTCCCTTCCCTTCTCCCTATCACAGACTAAATGCCAATAACAGTATATTAGACTGCAAGAGGCACTGATAAAGGGTAAAAGTGTGAAAACAGGGCCTCACACACATGATCAATGTATGGTCAGACCTGCTGGTGTTATAACCAATAAAAACTCTTTTCATGCTACACAGTGACAGGGTCAAACCCAATTAAGTTGAACATGTTGAGGGGTGAATAATATCTGTGGACCAATAAAGCCAATAACACATCACTGGAAAACAGAACCAAGTAACAAAAAAACTCATTTGACCTCAACCCTCGACATCAAAAACATGAACATGAACATGAAAAATAAGACAATGATATGTCCCCAAAGATCCCAACTCTCCGAAAGCAGATCCAAGGGCACCAAACAAAGGAAATCAAACACTAGACAGCCAAACTATGTGAAATGATTAAAGAGGAAGTAAAGAAACTGAGTTCAAAGGGAATATAACACAAAAGACAGTGAGTGTAACATACAAACTGATAAATGTGGGTTATGGGAGAAAAAAAAGGAAGAACTGATTAAAACAGTTCAAAACATGAATAAGCAGCAGAGGTATAGAACCCCACAGAAATCCCATAAAGATTTTTAATTCATAAGCAATGACCAATGTAAAGACAGAGTTTCAGAAACTGAAGGCAAATAACAAAAAAAGTCACCTAACAGCTACTAGATAACAATAAGAATAACATAAGGCTAATTAGAGTTAGAAATTAGAAGACAGCATACATGGGACATGAAAATCTGTCAACAGCTGGGCACGGTGGTGTATACCTGTAATCCCAGAACTTAGGAGGCTAAAGCAGAGGATGACAGCAAGTTCAAGGCTGGCCCTGGCTACGCAGTGAATTCAAGGCCAACCTGAACTACACAGCAAGACCTTATCTCAAAGAAACAAGACAAAACAAAAACTGTTTACAGAAATCATAGCAGAAAACTTCCCAAATCTGAGGAATGATCTCAGTATACAGGTAAGCCAGACTTCCTGAATACAAAATAATTACAATAAAAAAGCTCCCAGCCAGGAGATATATGCCTATATCCCAGTACTTAGGAGCTTGAGGCAGGAGGATCACTGAGTTCGAACCCAGCCTGGGTTACATAGCCAGAATTATATAGTAAGATTCTGTCTCCAAAAAATAAAATTAAAATTAAAAGCTCCCTACGACACATCACAGTCAAATCCCAGATGTCCAACAAAAGGACAATCTTAACACATTCCCACTGGCTTGAACCACCAGCGCTACATGCACGCTGACGTACCCGACAGGACTATCACACGCCACCTGATGAGTGAATCACCAGTGGTTCAAGCCAGTAGGCACCACCCAGTGGTGAGACATACAAATTATGACCTCACTGTAAATGTCAGTAATTTAAAAGCTGTAAGAGACAAGCAAAAAATCATATATAAAGGTTAGTCCATTAGGGTTACAGCAGGCTTCAACACAAACTTTAAAGGCCAAAAGAGCTTGGAGTGAAATGTTTCAAACCCTAAAAGTAAACAAACTCCACGGATTTTAACATATCCTACAAAAGTATCTTTCCAAATTGATGGAGAAATAAGGACATTCCAGGACAACGTACTCCTTAAGAGTACATAGACACTAACCCAGTGCTCCAAAAGAATATCCAGGAATATCCTACACGGAGACAATGAAGTCAGTGAAGCCAAAAAGTCAGATAGAATGAATACATGAGGCAAGATAAAGTGGTAGTTAAGGAAGGAAAAATACAAGGAGTCAACTACAGAGAGTAACACAATAACGGGAGTATGTCGACAGCTTCTAGTTTTAATTCTCAATCTAACTGGCCTCATCTCCCTAGTTAAAGGCACAGATTGAAGACTGGATCAAATAACAGAATCCAACAATGTGTTGCATTAGCCAGGTGTGGCGGCTCATACCTGTAACTCCAGCACTCGGGAAGCTGAAGCAGGATGGGTCACAGCAAGTTCAAGGTCACCCTGTGCTACAGAGTGAAATGAATACCAGCCTGAACTGCATGGTGAAATCCTGTCTCAAAAATAAATTTTAAAAAGTCTGTTGTATTAAAGATAGTTCTCTAGCCCCAAAAGACTAAGATAGAAAAAACAATATTCCATGCACCAGGACCCCCCAAAAAAAAAATCCAGCAGGGGTAGCAATTTTCTCTTCAGACAAAATAATCTAGCTAAAACTGATCAGGAGAGACAACAAAGGTTACTACACATTAGGCAAGGGAGCAACTCAACAGGAAGTAGTAATAATTATAAACATATACAATTCAAATTCTGGGCATCCAACTTCATAAAGTACACACTGCTGGACATATAAGATCACATATACAACAAAAACAATTATAGTGGATGACTGCAATGTCCCACTATCACAAATAGATCAATTTTTAAAATTAACAAATATCAGAGGTGAATCACACCTTCAAACAAATGAACTTAATATTTTCAGAGTGTTCTACCCAAAAGAGTACATTCTTTTCAGCAACAAAAGGAACTTTCTCCAAAATAAACCATATACTAGTTCCAAAAAGCCTGCTTAAATAAATACAAAAGAATCAAAATGATTCCATGTATACTATCAGATCATTGTACATTGAAACTACAAATCAGTGGCGAAAGAAACCATAGAAATTTCTCAAAAGGAAAGGAATACTTCCAAAGTCACTCCTGAAAGTCAGCATCATTCTAATTCCAAAACCAAACATGATTCCAATCAAAAAACAAACAAAACAAAAAAAATGAACTACAGGCCAATCTCATTACTCAACATAGATGGAAAAAAGTTCTCAGCAAGATATTAACCAAAAGAACACAGCAAAGAGATCATATGAGCAAGTCAGTTTTTTCTCCATGGATTCAATGATAGTTCAGCACATGAATATGCACAAATGTAACAATCCACACAAAAAGAAGCAAGGCAATTATATGATCAGCCCAATAGAGAAAAAGCCTTTGACAAACTTGAGCGCTCATTTGTGATTAAAAAATAAAGCCCTGAAGAATATATATATATATATTGAAGGACTTGACCTCAACCTAATAAAGGCCATTTATGACAAAGTAATGGCTAACATCATATTAAATGGGAGAGCCTGAAAGCCTTCCCTCTAAAATCAGGATCAAGACAAAGATTACTCTATCACCACTCTTGCTCAATACAGTATGTGAAAAATTACCCAGAAAAAGAATCGGGCAAGAGAAATAAATAAAAAAGATATGGATAGGAAAGAAAGACAAATTATTATTTGTATATGACATGATTCTTTACATAGAAGACCCCAAAAACTACAATAACTGAATTCAGCAATGTATCAGATTACAAAATCAACACACGAAAATAGTAGCGTTACTCTACATCAATAGTGAACTCATTAAGAAATTAGGAAAATACCATTCTCAATAGCATCAAGAAAACATTTACTACTTAGGAATTAAACTAAAGAAATGAAAGATCTCTTCAAAAACTATGGAACTCTAAAAAAGGAGATCAAAGAGGGTACTGAAATGAAAAGAGTTCCTCTTTTCCCAGATAAGCAGAACCTATATTGTCAGAATGCCCATACTTCCAAAATTATTATATGGATTTAATGCAATCTCAGTCAAAATTCCAAAAGCATTTCCTATAGAACTAGAAAAAAGCCCTAAATTCATACACACCAGAAAAGACCCACAATAGCAAATGCAATCCCGAGTAACAAGAGCAAAGGAAGAGGCATCACAATCCTGGACATGAAATTACATTACAAAGATCACTGAAACAAAATACAAGATACAGTAACAACTTCAGACACATTTGGCCACCTAATCTTTGGGGCAAAAAATACATGCTGGAGAAAAAACTGCCTCTTTATCAAATGAAACTAGGAAAACCAGCTATCCACAAGCAGGTGATTGAGTCTAGACCCATTATCTCCCACAAAATACTGAAGTCAGAATGGATTAAAGATCTAAATATTAGAAAAGAAACACTTACTTTGCTAGAAGACAAAATTGGTAAAATTCTTAAAGAAATAGGCATAGGCAGGGTTCCAAATAGAACCCCAACTGTATATGAAATAACACCAGAAATCAACAAATGGGATCATATCAGATTAAAAAGTTTCTGCATGGCAGAGGAAACATGTATATCCAGGTTTATAGAATCACAACTCATAATAGCTAAGTCCTGGAAGTTGCCTATACGTCCAGCAACAGTCAAATGGATTTTTTTAATGTGATATTTATACACAGAGTAGTACTACTCGGCTACAAAGGATTTGTAGGAAAATGAATGCACATTAACATCAGCGTTAAGTGAAATGAATCAGACACACAAGCTTAAATGCTGTATGGTTTCTCTTATGTGAGACATATAAAAGTACAAAACCAAATTAAAGAGCAAAATAAAAAATGGATAAACTAAAAATGGAGATAAATCTTCTGGAGGGGAATGGGACCAAGAGGAAGGGAGGGGAGAGGGAGGAAGAAGAGAAGGGTACATTTAAAAATTTGTCATATACATAAACCAAAAACCCACAATGAAAGCAGTCATTATGTACTGCAGATATGTACATATATATATACATTTTATATATATGTACATATATATTAAATGCCTCCAAGAGCATACTCTTCACTACATTGGTCTTTGTCTATTTTTATGCCAATATCACCCTGCCTTGATTACTATAGTACTGTAATAAAATCTGAAGTTAGAAAATAACTAACTCTGTTCTTTTAAGATTGCTTTGACTAGGTAACTGGTTATTAATAAACAAGTTAAGGTTTCTGGTATAGAAGAGAAACTAAATGTAAAAAATTCTCCAAGCGTAAAGTTACTAACGGTTTGAAAGAAAGCACTGATTTTTTAAAATAGCTAGATACCAACAATAAGAGAAGGAAAGGAAATTCAAAACACATTGTCACATGCAAGCAATGGTTCAGAATACAGGAACAAACATTACAGACTGTAAGGATAACAGCCCACAACCAAACACAAATTCCTCTCTCAAATATTTCAAGTAGATGAGATTATCAAATGATTTCTGCCATATTCACAGTACCTACAGTCTTCAACTTCCACATTTAGTGATTCCAGGAATATCTTTCTGGGGGGAGAAGGTGGGAGTAAATCAGTAGTTTTTTAAAGCTGACTTACCTTGTAAAAACAACTAACCCAATTAATTCTTGAGATATTTTCTCTTGCTGATATCTATCTCGAGGGATTCTTGCAAATTTCTTTCGTATCACATCAAAAACAGTTCTTGATTGGAGCAGTTTAAAGCAAGTATCAGAACACAGGGTAAGACTCTGCTCATATGGAAGGATAGAAGTCACATAACCAGGTATGGTTTCCAAGCTACAACAAAATAAATTACCTGAGAATATTTAAAGTCCAAGATCTTAACATAAAATCAAATGTTTTAGGTCCTGAGCTCTGGCTCTAAAATCAGTACTTAAACAGCCAACTGATTACAATTCCTTATTTAAGTAATAATTGATCTTTGAAAAATCCTCAAATAAAGACTACTTATAAGTAGTACATCATCTTTGCTAAACTCTTTCCTATTACCCACAGGCTTAATATATCATACATATACATACCTATAACTTTTATATGTAATATATAGATGAAAAAGTAATATAGATACCTATATTTAATTACTACTAAAATATTTTTGGGCAAAGACTGAAAAACCTAATGTTTTACACAAAAAGTGAATACTTTAAGGTTTAAGTTTCTTGTAGAGTTTTTAAGGTTCATCTTTTTAAATTTACAATAAACTGAACTATCATTGTTTATGGCTGAAGCATAGCATTTCATCATCTGCACATCATGCCACTCCAAAGGATTAACTTTCTCAAATATTACACAATTAAGCCTGTAGGATGTTGCATTTTCCACATACAAACCTGCTGCTGAAGAATGTCCGTGTGTTAGCGTCGTTATAATAGTTGCGACCAATTTGTTTCAAATTCATCAGCTTCAGAATTCTAGAAATTCAAAGACTGAGATTCATTAAAAGGACAGTGACTATTATAAAGCATTTGTTAACACATATAAAGCACACACTAGGAAAACAGTCTGTCAATAACTGTTTTTATATTGTCAATTAACAAAGTACCTGATAAGTTATTTGATAATCTACAAAGGTTCATTTTACCTCAATTTATCTGTCTTTTTCTCATAATATAAAATAAAAAAGGTAAAGATTAACAGAATGCATACTTTATACTTTTCCCAGAACTAATTTAAGATAGCCCTTGCAAATCACATGTCCTACTTTTAAATTTTACACATTTGATCATAGCTGACATCTGCTACTCCTTCCCAATGGTACGGGCTGCAGGAAGTACAGGTGAGCAGAGTGGATAAATCCTGGGGACAAACCACTGCATAAGCCCACTGCACAATAATCTGTACATCACCCAAATATCATTTCATCTCAAAACCCCTTCACTCTCAACACAGAGACTATAAAAAAGCATAAACATCATGAAATACAATGATATCTCAAGGGAACCAGAGTTTACTAACACACCTTCTAAGGAAAATATTGTAATAGCGTATGCAATCTGGGTGCGTAGTCCCAAGCTCTCTGGAAAAACAGACTGTAATCTTCACAATGCCACCTTCTTTGGTTCGGCTGATGAGTTCCATATTCTAAAATTAAAACAAAAAAGGTCCAAATGTTCTTCCAAGAAAACAAATTCTACTCAATTATAAATCACCATGCACTTGGTTATCCAACCCATCACCACGGGGGAGCAGGCTTTCTCACAAAATGTGTAGGTGAGACGTTAACAAAGGAAAGAAAATGTCAAACAACATTACTTAACAGAATGCTGAAGCTTTCTAGGTAACAATAAAGAGTTCCCATCAAATATGTGATATTCTCCAAATATTGATGCATGTTGAAAAAGTAACTTTTCACGGAGATCTCTGTCTTTTATGAATGGTTTATAGACAATGTTGTACTTATATGCCATCCTTGAGGTATCACTAACTTGAAAATGGTTTGCAAGCAGTTCTATCATGCTGCCTTCAGAACCTGAGAAATTGAAGTACATGTCAGTAACAGTGAGTGATGATAGCCAAAACAATTTGGACACATACTGACAGCCAATGACAAATCAAATACGGAGATAGACAACGAATTAACATTTTGCACGTATCAGACAGCTAGAATGTCTATAAATTTAGCTGCACTCAGATGCAAGCATACATTAAGAGGGTTTAAACACAAGATTAAAATGTTTTTAACCCTAAGAGTAGCTCAAAAATCCAAGCCCTCTGAAGAAAAAACAAAACAAAACAAAACAAAACACTATGTGTGACAAAGTTTATTTTTCTAAAAAAAAAAATCCCAGGGCAACCAAAGAACTGGGTTATTCTATTTGAGGGCCTGTAAAAGGCAAAGAAATATGTAGTCCATCTATAACTCTATAACAAATTATAACTTCTACAAAACAGAATGTTTTTACAAAAACGTGCAGAATGAGGTACCTCTGCGCACAATGATATGAAGCTTTACAGAATCTCTAGTTATTTTTAAGTCAGAAGTTTATAGTGAATAGCTTCATAAAGTTTGACGAAGGCCAGCATACCTGTTTTTGAGTGCCTAACATGTCTCAGTTTCTCCCTCGTATTCACCACAAGGTCCTGAAAAATTCCAGCTGGAGTCCCCGGCCTCACAGATAATGCCTGCAAATTAGCTGCAAGTGAAAGCCCTCCTACATAGAACATACAAGCCACAAAGTTATACAGTTTAAAAAAAAAAATAGAATGAACATGAAATTCCAACTATTAAAGAAAACCGAGCAAAGTCATTTGAAAGAGAAAAGACAACACCAAAAGATCCAAACGTTTCAGTGATGGGTCACCAGCAAAGGGGGTGTTACCAAAAAACCTTTCCCAAGCAACCTGCAGGCTGCATCAAGGGATGCCTTGGCCCTTCATCCATTCCTGCTGCTGTATTTGTCCTGTTTCACCACGAGTTGCTCGCAGTACAAGATTCTTAAAAACCAGGGTGCTGGGTCTCCATCGTCATAAGCCCATTTCCACAGCACCATACCGCTCACTCACATGCATTAGAAAGCACCAATGATTAACAAATCTCAAAAAGTGCCATGAAGCTGTCCTTCCTTGTAGAAGGACCGATCTACGCTTTATACTGAGAATTAACTGCGAAAAACTCATTCTATTTCATTGCACTCTATTTTAATGTTTACACAGGCTTAAATATTTATTCTAAGAGAAAATATCTGAGTGTGTGTGCAAAGCATTGTGAAAGCAAATATATATCTACAAATTCCTATCCCTGAATGGCTAAGAGTCATGGATTGGATTACAAACACGGTTTTCCTTAAAATGTTACTTCTGAAAGCTATTATTCCTAGCATGTAATGATCTTATACCACACTAAAAATGTGAGTTTCTACAATAGAAAAACTAACTACATTTAAAATAATTATATCAAATTCTCACCTAGTTCCTCATACATCCTGCAATCAAAATCAGTCATATTAAAATTCCAGTGAAAGAAAATTAGAGTCATTTATTGGCATTTGCTACACATTATGTACTTTCTGACAGTATTTAATCACAGCTCTGAAAAAAGTGATGAACGTATGTTTGAAGTTATGCATTCATGGGTTCTGGGTTTTGTATCAGTTGATTATTAAAATACTTGCCTACATTTTTCTTAAAGTTTTGTTCTATTACATGTTTTCCTGTAAGAAGAAAGGTGAGAGCAAAAGTTTCATATTATCCAAGCCCTTGGCAAATTACAACAGCTGAGCCAAAGTACTCATCTGATCCTAAAGCCCCTGTCACCTGTAAGAACACCACAAGATAGGAAAGCTCTGAGATGGTCAAGCAGCTTTTAAATGCAATTTAAGAAGCCATAAAAATAACATCCCAGGATTCCTAGTTAGTTTAGGCTTATCATATACAAATATATTATCTAAATTTGAGAAACAATGATATTGAATGGGCTAATGAATAATGACCACCATTTCTTTTTTGCATTACAAAAAAAATACTATTATGTACATATCAGGGCAGGCTTATTTCTAATTCTTAAGCTAATTTGCAAGGTGAGTATTCTTACTTCCATTAACAGTTGAACAAGTTTAAAAGATTACAATGGACTCAAACCTAAGACCACAAGACTAAAGTAGATACTTAAGGCACACTGAAGTAGAATCTATCTTCTTACACTCCCACTATTGGTTCAAAATTCTGCAGCATTAAAGTTTCAGAGTTTTCTCTTGTGGAATTAAAATATCACATACTAGCCAGCATGATAGCACACACCTATAATGCCAGCACTCTTGGAGACTGAGGCAGAAGGATGGAAAGTTCAAGCCCAACATGGACAAATTTGAAAATTTAGCTAGATCTAAAAAAAAAAAAAAAAAAGACTACGATCAACTTTTTATTCAATGTCTTGTTTACAATCAATCAAATTCAGTATTTCTGAATCTTACTGGGTTGTTTTGTGCGGTACTGGAGATTTAAGAGCCTTCACATTTAACTATATATGCCGAGCTCTATTAAAAATAAATAAAACAGGCACAGGATATTGCTCAGTTGCCAGATCTCCAGGGCTAGGCTCAAATTTGTGACCCAACTGCCTCAGCCTCCAGCGGGCTGAATTACAACCTTGTGTCACAGGGCCGGCTTATTTATTGATTTCTTAATTTTAATACACCCCACGAGTTTATTGTACATCTAAAGGGTTTTGTCCGTTTAAAATTTAGCCTTCCTTTTTCATAAGGTATTCTATGCCCTTTGTCACAACCTAAAATTCGTGGAGAATTTGTTTTGAGGAAGTTTAAATAAAGACTGTTCCTCAGCTTTCACGGAAAGGTAAATTCCCAAAGCCGCGGGTTCCCGCCTCCTAGTCCAGCAGCTTTCCCACCACTGTCGGAAGAGCATGACTAGTGCGCAGGCGCGGAGGGTAGTGCGCAGGCGTACATAGAGCCCCGACACTCGCGAGATTTCGGAGCTCCTTGCACGCTACTGTGTTAGTGCCCGGCGTTGCTTCATCCCCTCTAAATGTGGACCTGCAAGCACATGTTTGAGTATCACCGCGCCCCTGACATGGAAAAATAAGAAGTTCACATGCAGCTACTAAGACACCTCAATGAAGGGCCCTGTGCAAAAGACCGCTACAAAGTGCGCACCACTGCCAGGCTTGCGGTCCTAACTACCGAGGATGGACCTGTTGCCTGCAGCCAAAGGTCACCAGTGGGCCAGGGGAATGAAGCAGCCGCCTGCTGCGCTTGCAGCAATGTGGTCTTTTTGTAAACATTACAGATGTATGCGGATAAAACATCGACAGTCACATAACAAAAAGGGAAATGGTTGCAAGTGGAGCATGTTGCCCATCCCACCACCATCATGGAAATAGTGAGGCTCTCTGCCTAGAATTTTCTATGCTGTGCCGTCTCTTCCCTGCCCCTCATAACATCTTCTCTACTCTCACCTGGAGGCTGGACTCCTCCCTCTGCTCCTCTAGGCTGCTCAGGTGCAGCTACTCGGCCTTCCTCTCGGGGTGGCTGGCGTCTAGGCTGCGGCGAAGCAGCCTGCTGAGCCTGCGTGTTGCAAAGATAAAGATGTGTCCCCTGTGTGTTCAATCAGCATCCAGACTGTACCACCAAACAATAAAGCAAAGGATCTCCCTTGGAAATGCTCACATTCCGGTGACAAAAAGTCAACTTTTAAAAATAACATTGTAGCTGGGCACTGTGGCACACGCCTGCAATTCCACACTGGGGAGGCTGAGGCGGGGGCATCGCAGTGAGTTTGAGGCCAGCATGAGCTACACAGCGAGTTCAAGGCCAGCCTGAACCATAGAGTGAGACCCTCTCTCACAAAAACAAATAAAAATAAAGATAACAATAATGTAGCACTTAAGCTTCAATGTCTAGTTAATTCACTTAGCATTGTGGCTTCAAGATTCGTATTTTCCTACAAATAAACCCAACTTAGAACTTTATGACTGAGCTCCTTTCTGTTTAGAGAAACCTAAAGTATATATAATTTACAGAGCAAAATAAATGATAGCAGGAAACAAAGAAATAGATATCTTGCAAATGGTAGAGATCTAGAGGTGGAGGGAGGGACGTGAAAAGGATTAAGGTGTGATATGATATACGTGTCCCAACTGCATACAATGAGTGTATTCATTATGCATCCCAAACGTACTAAAAATAAAATGTGTTGATAAGCTTTTTAAAAGAAAGGACATTTCATCTTGTGTGGTAATTGGTAGGGAAATGGAAAAAAGTAGAACATAGAACAAAGAGAACCAGGAGTGACTGGGAAGGTGGCTTGTAAAGGGACCAGGTTGCACCAATTAGTTAATAGGGGCAATGGACAAGTAGAGTGAGGCACAGACGTGGAACCGGCCTGAAGGAGATGAGTGAATCGGCAAAGTTCCACAAGCCATAGATGGGAGCAGGTCAGAACATTCAAGGAAGAATGAAGTGTACTTAGGCATTTTTGTTCTCAGTGGAAAATTTTGCATAAAGCAAGCAGAAACATTACAGGGCTCGCTGCCGCTGCTCCAGGCGCCTCAGCTTGGGCAATGTTCCAATGGCGCGCTCGGCCCCGGGCTCGAGTCCTGGCTCTGCCAGACATTGCAGTGCTAAAGACGATGACCTGCAGAGAGGAAACCCTTAAGGAACACAGGTTCCCTGGTAAGTCTTTCAACCACTACTTCAATAAGGAAAAAGGTTACTAATGAAACACCTTTTCCAACCACATCAACAGGATTGACTGCCTGTGTGATGACACAAGAGCATCTCTGTAGAAAAAGCCACAGTTGTGGTAAAGTTGTCCCCCAAAATGTGAGAAATTGTCGACTCTTGTTCTTCTCCCCCTGTATAGACTCAGACAGTCGGGTTACTACTGTAAGTCAGATAAACAACTGAGTGCTTCCCACGTAACATGCATTCACACAGCACAGAATTCCTGGACCCAAATAGCACTCTATACCCATGCCTGAGCCACTGAGACCTGACTTCTCTACAGTTCTTAGCCTTTGCCCCCAAAGCTCACCTCCTCAGCCAGGTAACTGTTTAGGTCTTCACTGATCTCACAGTCACAGAGCTGGAGGCGCAAAACTTTTTGTAACAGCCAAACTCCTCCAGAAAACTTCTCCCTGTATCAAGAAACAGCCACAAAAGGGGTTGGGGAACGGAAGAACCAGCCTGGCCTCTCAGCAAGATGCACTGCACCTTTAGTGGGCTGATGCCAGACCCTCAGCACCCTCTCCTTTAGTTTTATCCTTGCTGTGGCTCCAGTGCCACGCCCACCTGATTAACTGGGCCTTGAGCGCCACCTGCTGGGCTCAGAGATGCTCCGAAGTTTCTTGGAATGGGAGTGGGGAGTCAGCTCTCCCTGCTTCCTGCCCACCGTGCCTCTCATCTATTAATCATCCAGGTGACCTTACCACTTACTAACTTTAAGCACATCCCTGCTGAGGCCAGTGTAACTAAGTGCAGCTGCCGTGACCATCCTTGGATTCAAGCCTACGTGGAGCCATAATCATCTCCTTAGCACAGATCTCTAGCAGTAGATTCACTGTTCCCTGTGATTTGTAAGCATTAAGGTATGTGGAGTCTTGTTAGTATGTGTTACGGGAGATCGGACACAAGCCCTTTGCACTGAGTTACATCCTCAACAATTTGTTTGAAACAGGGTCTCGCTAAATTGTGCAGGTTGGACTTGAACTTGAAATCCTCCTGCCTCAGCTTCTGAGAGTACTCGTATTTTGGTATTACAAGTGTGTGCTACCATGCCTGGCTTATAAGGTCTTTTTTTTAGTATCTGTTGTAGAGCTAAGGGTGTAGTTCAGTGATAGAGCATTTGCCCAGCATAAGTGAAGCACTGGATTTAATCTCAGACATCAAAAAATAAATAAATGATTGGAAAAATCTGTTGTACCAGAGTTTTTTAATGATTGCTTCCAGGTTTCTGTCATTCTTTGGCCTTGCCACTTAAGGTTTTTTTTTTTTAAATCACGAATTCTTTTTCTTAAAAAATTTTTAGAGTTGCATTGTTGTGTAAGTAAATCCTTGACGCAGGATATTCATTTTAATTTAGCGGTATAGTTGCCTCACAGTTTTCTGTAAAGCAGTTTTTTTATTGTGACTAATATTTGTATATCTTTATGGGGTGCATTGTGATAATTTAATACATGTATCTATTTTGTAATAATAAGCATTTCCACCTTTGCAAGATCTTAAGTCATTTTTATGTGTTGGGAAATTCCACTTTTCTGGTTTTGTTGAAATAGATCATAGATTATTTTAAGTATAATTAACCTGTGCTAAAGAAGACTTAATTTCTCTGTTTGACATTTGATGCCCCTTATTAAAATTCCACCCATCTGCTTCTTCCCTTTCTCTCCCGAGTCTCTAGTGTTGAGTACTTTACTCTGTGCTTCTATCAGGTTGACTTGTTAGTTTCTGCATATGGGTGAGATTTTGTAGCACTTGTCTTTCTGTGCCTGGCTTATTTCATTTAACATAATGACCTCACTCCCATTCTTGTTGTTGAAAATGGCAGAATTTCAGTCTTTTATATGACCCATTACATTTCTTTAACCATTCATCAGTTGGTTGACACAGCTGGGTGCCATTTCTTGGCTATTGTGCATATCAGTGAACATGGAAATACAGATGTTTCTTGGATGCACATTTACCTTTGGATATATCCCAGTAATGTATTTTGTATTATGTATTTATGTATTTTGTAGACCCCCACATTGTTTTCCTAATGCCTATCCTAGTTTATAGCCCCACCAACAGTGCACCAAGGTTTCCCTTTCTATATGTATAATCTTTAGTTTCTATTGTTGTTGTTGTTGTTGTTTTGGTTTTGTTTTGCTTGTTTTTTGAGACAAAGTCTCACTATATAGTCCAGGCTGATCTTGCAATTACTGTGTAGCTCAGACTGGCCTTGAACTCTAAGAGATCCTCCTGCCTAGCCTCCCAAGTGCTGGAATTACAAGCATGCACTACCACAACCAGCTTAGTGTTTTTGATAATGTCCGTTTATACTGAACTGAGGATATATTTCATTTTTTTTATGTGATTTGCGTTTCCCTGGTAATGAGGGATGTTGAACAGTTTTTTCATATATTTATTGCTATTTATTTTTTTAAGAAAGGTGTATTTAGGTCTATTGCCCATTCATTTATCAAACTATTTGTTCCATTTTGTTTTATGCTGTTGAGTGCTTTTGAGTATATTATATATTCCACATATCAACCCCTTGTTGGATGTGTATTTTGCGAATATTTTACCATTGTGTGGATTATTTCTTCATTCTCTGTTTCCTTTGCTTTTTTCCCTGATGGTTGTGGGGTTCTCTCCAAAAAATCTTTGTCCACTCAAATGTGCTTAAAGTATTTTGCCTTATGTTTTCTTCTACTGGTTTACAGTTAGAGGTCTCACATTTAAGTCTTTAACCCATTTTGAGTTGATTTTCATACATGATAAGGCTTAAGGTTTTAATTTTATTCTGAATTATCTGATTTACAATGTCAGATTATTACATTACAATATGAACAGTTGTTTTACTATATTGTTTAGGAAAATGGATGAGGAAACCTGTACATGTTCGGTACAGGCACAATTTATTAAGAATATTTTCAAACTGTGGTTAGTTGGATCTGTAGATGTGGAACCCGTATATACGGATAACCCTCTATATAAATATACAAAGTATGTTTTAAAATATGGTGAATGTTTAATTTTTTAATTATACAGTAAAAGACACATTGTCACTAATCCCACTCGCAGTATTCACCCTCAATTCAAGCCAACATCCCATCATTCTGACCATTTCCGGAAGCAGTTCCAGAAGTGCTTTTTCCTGAGTGTCTTCACTTGTTCTCTCATGGCTGCCTCCGTGTCCTGAATCAATTCAAAACATTTACCTTTTCATGGTCATTAGAAGAGCTAGGGGTTCCATGGGGCCAGATCCCTGGAGTAATGTGGATGAGGACATGCCAGACTGTTTGTATGAGACGTCCTTTCCGTCAGATGACACTTGGTGCCAGCAGCCACTGTGATTTTTATCACACCTCCAAAATGAAAGACGACTTCCAGAACTGTGGCGAGAACATGGGCTAAATGTGTTCTAAATGAGGGAAAGAGAGTATTTTTCTTAATTTTATTTAAGCAGAAAAAGAAAAAAAAAACAGAAAAAGGGTACAAGTAATACAAAATTTAAAAAATAAACAGTAAGAAATCACTAGTTAATAGATTACATATTCTCATCTTAGAAATACTTGTTCAATTTACAAAATTAAAGCATATAAAGTGGACTTTCAAACAGTGAGCCTGCAAACGGTTTTGTTCAATGATCCAACAAAACTCAGTAATATGATTATCTATCTTTTACACTTAAACATATATGCAGTTATCACCTTTAGAGCACTTGCTTTTCTTTTCTTTTCTTTTGTACAATGACAATTACACATTTTGGGTTTTATTACTCCCACAGTTCTTGTTACTTTTTTTGAAGAGAGTAAAACCAAATGTGACATATCAGAACAGAGTCAGTCAAATCAAAAGGATGGACATAATAGATATTGTAAAAACAAAATACAAGGTGATCAACAATGGTTACCATACTGCCTCTTGCTATCTTAAGAAGAATTGCCTATATCATCAGTTATAATAAAATTGAACAAAACAGTAAAGAACAAAACCAATAAAACCAAAACATTGGAGACATTACAGGACTTTAAAAGATAATAGTCAACCAGAATGGGCGTCATAATGAATCTTATTGTCTTCACATTGTTGCCTATACTTTCGAAATGGGTACTATCAAGCTAAGCAGAATAGGGGAAAATCAGTCAAAACAAGATGGTGAGAGCAATACAGGGTTTCAAATCAAGTTAATAGGAAATCAAAGTAGGTTACTATAATGTATCCTGCTATTTTTTATTTATTTTTCCCTTAATTAAAAAGATGTAAATAATTTAAAATAGAAAATTGAGATAAAAGAGGGCATAACAACAAAACAGCGCAGGTCAAAGCATCACCATTTAAGCAAAATAGTGTTTCACCACAAGATGTCCTGACATAAAAGTAGTTACTATAGTGTCTCTTTCCTTGAAATGTTTGAGTATAACTTCATATACTGTAGCCCCAAACATATCCAGACAATGTAAAACCATTCAAGAGAATGACATTATTACAGGGTATTTAGAGCCAGCTAACAAAATTGACAATGGTTTCTGTATAATCTCCTTGTCTATAAAAGTTTTTGCTCATATTATCACATATAATAAAATCCAATAGGAAAGAGAATATTTTGAGAAGGGTTAGTGGGGACATGTCTTTTATAGTAATAAATTTTATTTAAACATTTACCACATTTTTATCACACCATGTACGAGAGTGAATTTATTAGGGGAAATGAGGTTTGTACAGTTATGGAGGCTGAGGAGTTCTCCATAGGCATCTACAAGCGGGGACCCTGAAAGCCAGCTGCATGGTTGGGTCCAGGCTTGAAGGCCTCAGAACCACGGAAGCAGATCATGTTACTTTCAGTCTGGGGCTAAAGGCCTGAGAACCTAAGGGTCTCAGAGCCCAAAGAATGGAGAACCTGGAATTCTGATGTGCTGAGGCAGAAATGTGCCCTAGCTCCAGAAAAGAGAGAAGAATTTGACTTTCCTTTTGCTTTTTTAGATATACTGTGGACCTCCACTGATTAGAGATCCTTCTCAGACAGAGGCCTGCCTACTCCACCCTCAGCTTCTTCTCCCCAAATTGCCTGGCCCCTTCCTAGGCTCCACAAGCTCTCCACTCCCATGTCAATTGCTCAGTGATGTCACCTGTCGCTCACATTTCGACAAGCCTCTGAATAAAAACAAATCTGGACTCAGTTTCTGCTAGACCCGGCTCCTTAGAGAGCCCTCTTCATGGCTCATAGATGGCTGCATCCTCACATAGCACTGAGCAAATGAGCACTGGTCGGGCTGGGGATTCAGCTCAATGGCTCAAGTGCTTACTTGGTAAGCACAAGGTTGTGAGTTCGATCCCTGGTACCAAAAAAAAGAAAAAAAATGTGCGCTGGCCTCTTCCTCTTCTAAAGACAACAGTCACCCTGCAAGAACTATACTTTGATTATTTCATCTAAACCTAATACTTTCCAAAGGTCCCACTTTCAAATATCATCACACCTGAGAACTGGGGCTTCAACACACGAATGAGGGGCAGGGG